TTTTTAAATGCAGAGCAGTCCAAAGGTCTGCCTACGGGGCCCATACACCTATCTTGTATCTTTTATTGACCTCTTCAGTAATTGCCATAAATGGCTAGGTATTCTTGTGGATCAGTCATTAATAAAGCTTTGATGTTAAAATAATATTTTTGGATTCACATTGCTATAAGTAATGCATTTCAATAAGAGTGGGAGGGCTCTGGGTGTTGGTTAGAGATTACAAATCACAGTATCACAAGACTAACATCTCGACCAAGTGATCACGTTACTACCATGTCCTTGCATTCGCTTACTATCTGATTTCGTGTCGACTGACTTACAGGGTCTTCTCTTGCTACACCCCAGAGCTCTGGAGCTCTGTCTCCAAGATGATCATAGGGTCACCTTCACTGAGCACTTTCCAACCCAGACTCCAAACCTTCTTCTTCTCAAAGGCTTTTACTAAATCGGTACTGTGTATATTCCCCTTGCAACTCCTTGTGCATTCTAAAATTTAAAATCTTAATTGGAAAATTCCACCTATTGGAATTGGAATGCCACCTATACAGTTCTTGCAATTGAAGAAATTCCCGAAAATGTGGATTAATAGCTGGTCAAGGATGATTAACAGACCAATGCAGACTTGTTGAAAATTCATAAAAAATATAAGCAGTACCTTAGGGCAACCAATATATCATTCAAGGATTTCCACTGCTGATGAGGGAAGATGTAATGAAAGAACAGGAGGCGTTCTGTTGTTCATGCTTTTGTGAGGCATCCATGAGCTCTCAGTGAGGGTCCTTGGCCATTGCTGTTTCAATGGATCCTAATTAACTCAACATTTTCTTCTGTTTTCATACTTACATGCTATAAGCTGGGCGGTGCGGTGGCTCAGGATCTGTGCCTGTGGCTGGAAGGTTGCTGGTTCATATCTCGTGGCCGGCAGAGGAATCCTACTCTGTTGGGCCCCTGAGCAAGGCCCTTTACCCCAACTGCTGTATGAATGGCAGACCCTGCGCTCTGACCCCCAGCTTCTCTCCCCGTCTGTGTGTCTCATGGAGAGCAAGCTGGGGTATGCGAAAAGACAAATGCCTAATACAAGAAATTGTATAGGGCCAATAAAGTGATCTTATATATATCTATAGCTTGAAGAAACAAAGACCAGGCATTCTCTGAGAGAATAAAGGGGCTAGCCATAGTGTCCTAATAGCGATGTCACTCATGGATAAGGACCATGATGCTTAGTATTTCTCAGATGCTTTCTGTCAGGCTTTGGACACTTTTCTGTTTCATAATGACTATAAAATGCTTCAGAATGATAAAGCAAATCAACTACACAGACCATTATACTAATAAGGAAATTGATTGTTTAGTGTTATTTGTTTAACAGTTAGTCCTGTGTAGCCATGTAAAATATGTATACATATATAAATCACATTATTATTATAATTATTATTATTATTATTGTTGTTATATTGTTGTTAGGTTATACCTTTATCCAGGTTATCTAGCAATGCATACAAAGTTTGAAAGAAGTGTAAATACACAAGCAGAGTAGAGTGTTAATGCCAACTGGACAAGCACAGTCGAGCTAAAGTAGTGTTTAAAACCTGTGTTATGGGGGATAACAATGTGGTTTCCCAATTGCTCTTTTTTCTCACACCTGAAGGCCTTGAATCCTCTGTGTTTGCTGCCAAACTCTCTGCAATGTGTCCTCCCAAGAGGACGATCTGAATCGAGGGCGGCACCTTTGAAGAGCTAGGCTCTGGCTTGATATGCTGTGCTTGTTCGATGCAACAATAACATTGACAACATTTCTTATAAATGAAATAAAGACATTGCTTGCCTTGCCAGTTTGACCTCTGTTTCATGTGATTGCTGAAAAGCTGCTAATAACATAGATAATTTTCACAGATTTTATTAGCTTTTAATTGCATCCTTCTGAACAGTGTCTTTTTTTCAGAAAAGAATCAGCTTTGTTTCTCAGAAACTTCTTTTTACTTGTCATAAAGATGAACATGAACGCAATAAACAGGAATCAGATAGTCCTTCTTAACCAAGATAGTAATTATATCACATGTTGATAAAATAAAAATATTAAATAATTTAGTTTTTCAATGTTAAATGATTGAAGTTAATATAAAAGTTAAATAAATTTGGAAATATAAATATTAAATAAAAATAAATCCTGATGGTCCACTATTGCCATTTTTCCACAACAAAGTAATTTGTGTGAAAAAGGTCATATGGAATCAATCCTCCATAAACATTCAGACATATAGCCAGTAACTAGGTTATGGTTAAAAAGTACAACTCTTCCACTGTAGAAGATGTTTTAGTACAATCCAGTCTGGACCTGTATTAGACTGGACCACAGACAATAAGCATGTCTGCGTGACTGGATGTGTGTGATCACAGCAGAAAAAGAGACAGATGATGTTTTGTGAGCAGTGTGTTACGCCCTTTCCAGTTGTAGAATTATGAATCAATTCACATGAAAATAGCTATAAAGAGTCAATAAAAAGTTAATGGTTTTATGTATAGCTAAACTGTTTTGATAAAGACAAGAATTTACTAACTTGATCCTAAGGGCATACTTCAGGTACTCACTCAGTACATAATCCATACAATTTCCAGTACCATTGCAATAAATACTGCTCTTGTAAGGACCCTCCAGGAAGACTGCAAAGAGGAGCTGCTAGTTGACTGTCAGCAGGAAAGGTTGCAAAGAGAGCATATTTCATCCCATCTTACTGGATAAAGGTCTTCTGATCTTGCTACCATCTTTCAAGATTCTCCCTAGAAGCATAAATAACAAAAAGAAAACAGTTTTTCAAACAACAGCTCAACTAAAATATTAGCTTCTTCTGGTTTATTACTAACCTCTCACCCAATCGCAATAATAGCATTAATTAAGTCAGTCAGTGGAATCATGCTCTCCTGATCTTAAGATTCTGTCTTCCTTCAAATAAAAAAGATGATTGTCTGTAAACTTTTGTCAAATGATTCTAAAATTTATAAATGTTCAGCACAGTAGAAAACACCCTGTTACAAAAATTACATCTCCCAAACAGAACGGTGTACAAATACGTAGTGTGGTGTTTTAGGGCTGACAAAAGTAGATTTCTTTCTGCTTTCTTGATCAATAATGGGAGGTTTTTGGCAGGGTAGGCCGCACAGGAAGTGAGAGTGAAGTTACTAGGCTCACTTCTTTGGCACAGGAGAGGCGTAGGCAGGCAGTAAAACTTTCCTCCCAGTAAGCTCAACATCTGAACAACTGCCAATACTGACTAATTAAAGAAAAGTCAAAACCACAGGCTGAGCCACAGGGTTCCACTATGGAGATTCAAGATTCTCTGCACTGATTTGCCAGTGAGGCAAAGAAATGTGAAAGGCCCAGGCTAATTCACCACTGTTTAATTAGCATTGACTTTGCACTGGATACCAGTTAGTTCAATTTGTTTTTCACTGCCAGCCAATAATATTCATCTGTGCCAATTGCTTTATTTTAAGAATTTTATTAAGAAAAAACAAAATCCATTCAAATCTCTGAAAGAGGCTGCTATTTTAATCAGAGTTTCTGCCAGGTACTTTATATTTGTGTTTTAAATTAATCTGAATGACTATTAGAAAAGGTACAAACAGAAGAGGCCATTTGGCACATCTAGCAGTAACCCCATAGTTATTTCTAATGTCTATATTTAGGACAAAATCTTTCAAAACCTTTAGGTCAAATTCTTCATACTGTAGGTATGGTATCAGCCTTCATTTCCACACTGAGGTTACACTAATTTACACAAAATCTAACCAAATGATCTCTTTCTTCTTACAAATGCTTATACAATGTTTCACATGTGAACTTGTGAACTTGCACAAGACCAAAGTTACGTTCCTGGCTCTTTATATCAACTCCACAAACAGGTCTTAGTATATCTACTGTATTGATGATCATGGAATCAGTATAAGTACTTAGGTAAGGAATCCTGGGGTTATTTTGCCTTGAATGTGAAGCTCATATTCACATTGTAGTTAAGGTATCTTTGATCATTTCTGTAACATGGCATCAGTAGACATCTCCCCCTGTTTCATTTTTTGTCTTTTCCAGACTTAATTATTGTAATGCAGTTCATATTACCATACTCATACATTAAGAAATTGCAGTATATTCAAAACTATTGAACTATTGAGTTGATTTTAACTAAAACTAAAATGCATTAGGACATATCATCTGTGTTAGTGTCCTTGAACTGGCTAAGTGTGCTTTTCAGAACAAAACTGATCATTTCTACTGTTCTCCTTTAAAGGTTTGAATAGTTTAATTCTTGACTACACCAGTGACCGGTTTGCTCCCTTCTTTCTGATCACATTATGAGGTTCCTGGGAAACACCAGGAGATAGACATCCCTGTTCAGCTCTTCTCCAAGACTGTGGAATGATGTCCCATCTTGTATCACGTCCTACATATCAGTCAACACTGCCAAATTCTCTTAAATTCACATTTATGCTCTAATGTTTTCTTGTTTAATTTACAATTCAAATGTGATTATACATCTCTTTTGTTTTATGGTACAGCTCTTTGAGATGATGGCACCATGATGTACCATGAAAGGTGCCATATACCTCAAAGTCTATCATTATTACTACTACTACTACTATACATTACTAGGGCCCATTACTAGGACAGTGCTACGGATTTTACCAACTAAGTGCTGGCAGTTCACGTATTTATTTTGTGTCTTCACGTGGAAGAAGAGGGGGATAACAAAACGTCTATTAGGTGAAATAATGAAATAATTTAGTTGGTAAAATTATTTTTAAAAAGTATTGTAACATACGTGGTTCAAAATATCTAGATTGTAAATTACACGGTAAATGAGTTTATGGAAATGGAGAGCCAGACCCAAGACGCCGAACCCGCCTCTCCAGTGGCAATAATAGATTTGACGAGAACTAATCGCGACCTGTTCATGTGGGTCCAGCAATCGTGCTAATTGAGGAGTGGGAGGCCAGTCCTACCAAGCCGAGTAAACGCGGGCAGGTGGTCTAGCCTTACTCTTGCACCGCGTACTAGTTGTTTCAGGTGAGGGGGTCTAGCCGTTCAGCAAGCCCTGGCGGTGGCGAGCTCTGCCTCCTCCAGCAGGAACTGCGAGGGGCGCTTGGTGACGCAGCGTCTGCGGCTCCTCCAGTCCGGCCGCGCTCACAGAAGAGCAGACTCCTCACCCAGCGCCTCTCTGCTCATCACTGCACCCCGGCACAGGCACGACAGCCCACCTCTCCGTAACTCTGGGCATGCAACGTAGCGACCGTCAAAAGCTTTCTCCATGGACTCGCTGCCGCTGCTTTTACACATGCACTTTATATTTATTTATTCTTAGTCTGGAACTAAGGTCTGCCATCTCAGGTAAGAATAGCTCTTTCATCTTATTGCTTTTTAAAAGTTAGCGTGCCTGTTGAACAGTGCGCCGTGTTCGTTTTAAAATGTTTAAAATGTTTTATGCGGATTTGGTATCGGGGAATCGTGGCAAGTATAGTTTTGCTGTGGAGTAGCTGATGCAGAGGAATGCCACGAAAGTCCAGAAACTGAGTAAAAACAGATGTGCCGAGAGAGCGAAGTATTCGAAGGGGGGAAGGGACGTGCTTTCATGTTGAAAGGATTTTCTCCCTAAAAAGAGCTGCGTCGCAGGATAATAAATACGGTTTAAACTGTCTTTGATTTTTTCACAACTTTTTTTTTAAACGAGTTTACATTTTTTGCAAGGAATTATATGGCACCCAGATGTGACATTTAGTATAACCCTGTTACGTAATTTTTCCTTTCCAATTTTCGATATTTTCCTTTTCAGACGGTATTGTATCCTGTAACACTTAACTAAATTTTCTTGAGGAAAAGTGAAAATCGAGTATTAAACGGAGACTTTTTCTAAAAGCCTTCATTTATGTATTCTAAACTATATACCAATAGAAGCTTCTGAGACAGTTAAGTCTGCTTTAAGACCCCCTCTTACAGGGAAAAAGCGTTTTCTGTGTTGGGGATCTGCTACGAGTAGCAGTGATAATATTGGAAAGTATGAAGTAAAGGTTTAAAGTCACTTCCTAGATCTAACTAGAAGTGTAATTTTATGGATTTTAAGACGCTGGCCACCAGTATATAAGAATATGATGGACCATGTTCATGCACAATGCATTCAACGACACAATCACGATCTGGGTATTTTCTCAAGTGTACTGTTGCATTTGGTGTGGCATTTATGTACACAATTATATTACATTAAAAGACTGAGGAAGGATATGTGGCCTCTTCCTACGTGTAGTCCTGTGATTTCTTTGAGAAAGGTTGCATGGCTGGGTGATATCTGACTGACTCCCACAAACCTTTGTGTAAAGTGTCTCCTGTTCTTAATTTTAAAATGCCCTTTTCCCTTGTTTCTTCTTATGTCTTCTGGTTTGTGTTTCACTGATTCAAAAAGTACATTGGGTTGCCAATTTCAGTTTCAGTATTTCAGTTAACTTAGTTTTCTCTGCTTAAGTAAAAAATAGTTACCCTGGACTTTGTCCAGAGATGAGCAGCCAGATAGATGTCTAGGCTTGAAGAATGAAATGCAAACAGGCAAAAAGAAGAAAATATGTGTTTTGTAATGTGTTGACTAAGATTGTACGTAATATTCTGTATATTCATTCTGCACTGTTTTGGAATGGACTCTTTTTTGTTTATATTACAATATTTTGGTCTCTTTTGTCTATCTTCAATTGTGCTTGTACTTCTCTTTAATTGTGTCCATTTGTAAAAAAATCAATAAAGAGAAATATGCTTTTCTGCTGCTTTTTTAACCTGTGTAAATAAATCCTATCAATGCAGCACAAAACTAAAGGAGTAAAGCAAGGGAGAGCCAAATCTAGTCTAAGATATGGTGAATTTCAGAAAGCAGGTTTGAATAATGAGCAGAACTGTGGAGGCCTGTCTTTGCCTAAGGAGGCAGGGGAGATGAAAAGAGCTCCACTGAGTATTATTTACTTCTAGTCACCACATCTAAGGACAGGATATAGTAAAAGTGCACAGAAAGGCATCTAGAAAGTCACTGATCTGCAACATAACCTGCATCAGATGAGACGTTTTACCCTACAGCAGTGAGCACTTACCCAAGATCCAACTGAGGCTTTCAAAACTTTAAACAAGACTGAGAAGCAAACTAGATATTTAATTTACACTAAAAACCCAGGATCAGAGGGCATAAGTGGAAGGTAAGGAAAACTAATTTTGGCACTTGAAACAGAAGTCATTCTTCACACAAAGCTATTAATTTATGGAGTGAGCTGCCTACTCCCGCGGTGGAGGTACAGTCACAGCAGTGAACTCTCACACATGGAACAACAGGCAAGCACAGGGGAGGCCCAGTGAGAGGTCATGTGGCCCTGTTACTATGATTGCATCTACTGTAGCCTTTTTCTAAACTATACCAGGCAGCCACAGCTTTTGTTGAAACACCTCCAGTTTTTAATCCATTTGTCAGATTAATCAATGTAGTAACTTTGTGGATTTGCTGTAAGCATGCACAGTAGATTAATTTCCCCCCAGACCATGAGGGATAGTTTACTACTGTTACCTTAACAGTCTTCATTGGCAGAAGCATGTCTGTGCTTTATTTTGACATTGCACTAAGTGGCATTAGTATTACAATATTTTCTTAATAAATTAGTCTAGCCACCCTACTGTATGTTACGTTCTATTAAATGGTCATACAATGTGTGTGCTTTTCTTAGAAATTGTCTGCAAAGTTGTTGCTCTTCATCATTGACTGCAAAGGTTTAGATGCTGAAGTTTGTGTTTGAAGTGAAAAGGGATGAATCTTTAGAAGAGCTGATTCTTTATTTCCTTGCATCCCCAATTATTTTCTATTGCTGCTAATGGCTGGGATATCAGGACTTGAAATTGCTCTAATATACAGCTTTAACCACTTGAAATTTGACCCCATGACCCTCAAGAGTCCAAAACCCTAACAATTGCTCTACACTGCTGCCTGCAACTGCTTAATGTTTTTTGTAAATTTAAAACGATTTGCAATTGTTTGTAACACAACTTTTATTTTGGTGGATGTTAGCATGGCATACACTTATAATAGGCCATGTAGTATTTTCACATTTTGTTCTAGCCTGTGTGCCCCTGTATACCCTTAAAATGATGTGTGTGATTATATTGGCTTGTCAGATCCGAAGCAAGAAAAAGCCCTAACCCTGCTGGCCCGCCCACTGACAGATCAGCAGCCTGAGACCTTCCCATCACACAGCCAGCCAGTCGGTGAACTAGGCTGACAACTAGTTCAGTTGCTGCCCATGCTGGCTCTGCGGATCCTATCCCTGATCAGAGCTGAAATGTGGATTGGAAACATAAGGCTTCCTATTCAGAGTCGGCTATATTAGTGATTTAAGCTGGGGTGGCTGTTCAGTTCAAGAAAGATCTTTAAAAAAATCATAAGCTCAGATTTCTTCTGTTTTCTAAAGATAGATAAGACTTTATCGATCCCGAAGGGAAATTGATGAGATGTACTGTACTAAAGATGTACTGTACAAGACTGCATCCTGTAGAGCAAACAAAAGCAAAACAAAAGGTGTTACGGATAGCTATTTACAATATAGCAATCTGATCTTGACTCCAGTGAAAACATCTGTACAAATAAAGGGCCTTCTATGAACTTACTTGTTTTAGCTGGCTTCTCTTCCCACACTACCACCAGCAGCTTCTATCTTTTAAGGCCCTTGGTTTATTTTCCTGGATAAAGATTTATGGTAGATCATTGGCTGAGCATATTTGCCATGTGGAAGCTCTCTAAACAAACAGCCAAATGTAACTGAGGCTTATCCTGGGAGGGGGCTGGGGAGAAATGTTTGTGGCTTTAGTGGAGGTTGTTTTTGGCTAGAGATTTCTTGTTGGAATGAAACAGGGGTAGCAGTATTGCTTTGGAGCATGACTGAATCATGTAATTTGTAGAAATCTTGACCCAGCATTGCTCTCTTCTACAATCCTGAACAGTATGAAAAGCTGGAACTGGACTGAGTTATTACAGTATGCTTTAATGAAGGTCTCCTGCAACATATTTCACACAGCAATGACTGAAGTGTATATTAAATATTACATTTAATTTTAGAACTACCCTACTAGATCGTGTGATAATTTTTCACATTTATCACCATATTCCTCTTGCTCTAAACTGTGTGTTAATAACCCTAATGGAGTTCCAACCTAGAATCAAATGCAGGATACTGGCATTGAGAGGCATTGCCTCTTCTATCTGGATGTTACGGTACCATCATCCAGCCACCAGGGGGCTCCAAACCTAAAAGCACCTACCTCAGCTACTCAGGGAAGACTCAGAAGATCTAGACCTCGTCAACCAATCCTAGCACTTTTTCACCACCACACCTCCCCTTCCCAGCCTACTTAAGCCCAGCTCTGACCCTTCCCTGCTCACTATTAGGTTTTTACTGTGAGAGCAACAATCTCCTGTTCACTTTGAGACAGGCCCTTTTGGCCTTTGGAATTTTGCCTTGCTTTTGACCACAGCTTTTGGATTCTCACTCAGGTATTTTTTGCTCTAAGACCTTTTGGGTTTTGACCTACTGCTTGTTTAGATTCCCTTGTTTAATTCTGTATTTCTAACTCCTGAGTTCCCTGGATCTGCATAGGGTCCATCCCTTGCTATCTCATTAAAACTGGAGAGGTGTATAAAAACATACAGTATCTCAAGTGTGGAGAGTGCCTATGAGCACAGGGAATAAAGATGCTTCCTAAAAAGTGTATACTGTATGCTGCTTATTGTCATCTCCCTCAGTAACATTTAAAAATCACCCATTAGAGTGGTTTACCATAATGTCATGGAAAGTCAATTTCAATTTCAGTGGCCCAGCTGGAAGTAACCTGGCTTCTTCCAACTACAGGTTACAGGCGATAATGCGAACTTAAACCAGGTCCTTTTACATGTACTTACATGCATTCATAGATATAAATTCTACACTGGAAAGAGAAACATTTCAGAGATGCACAAAACATTTTGCATGCATTTTATTGTTTTTATTAAGAAATTGATGTTCTTTTGCTGTTGACACTGATGCGGGTCTACTGTGAAACAACTTCTTTTTTTGCCATTGTTAAGTATTTTAAAATAATTAATGGGGAAAAAGAGGAGACATTGGAACAACTTGTTTTCCCTTCATTAAGTTGAATGTTAGCACTGTCAGCTACATTAACATGTGTGAAATGTGGAAATTTGTACAGCATCTGCCCCTAAATTAGTTGAACATGACCTAGAAAAGCTAACTTATTTTTCCCATTAAGGTATTTGATAAACAGATATTTTTACAAGTGAGGCTAGAACAGTCAGAATATATTTTATCATTTGTATTCTGTAGAATGTAGTTGACTGACTGGTCATATTCTCCACATTGCCTTAATATGGGAGGTTACCTTGCCATCTAAACTGTCACTTAGTGGTCCACAGACCGCTGCAGCAGACCATGTTTCTTTCTTGGTGAGGAAGTGTGGGATACGTCCAACCTGCTGAGAAACAGGGGCTGGATGAGAAACACCAGGGGTAGGTCCTTTGGTGTCAGACTACCATATTGGAACCCTGGTTAGACAATTTTTTTTTTTCAACATGGTGTCCAAGCTGTTGAAAAAATTAAGCACATTAGAAGTAAAATATATTACTGTGATATATATTTTACCTAGCACCTAACATTTAATGTAAACAATATATACAGTTCAGTCCCAGTCTGTAATTTTCTACGTTAAAGTGCCAGGTGTTTGTCCAGTTTACTCCAATTTTATTGGACAAATATGATGTGTATGTTCATATTGCTGATTAACATTTGTCAGTATCAGGGGGTCGTAGATTAATAGCATGCCTGGAATTTTGGAATTTATACATTTACATCTGTGATACAGGTGTTGTACCTGGTTGCAGATGTTAGTTTATAGAGTTGGAACAAACATGTGACTGGTCTATAGGCCACAAGATGGTCCAGATTATTCCACATACAGTGGGACTGAAGTCTGGGATGTAGATTGTCCAAGGTATAATGATCTTCATAACCAAGTTGATTTTACCTTCTCCACCCCCTTAACTGGTGTGCTATACACAGTACTTCGTGCCACATTCACTGACGTCCATTAGGGCTGTCTGCCAAAAATCTTGCTTCATTGCTTGAGGATGTAAATCCGCTCTAGGTGTTGCCCAGTGACCACCAATGTTCGACATAAAACCTCTTTGGTTGTCTGGCCTGTAAACTGACTGTTTAGCTGCCTCCTGACATTTGAATTGCTAATGCATTTCTGAAGATTTGGATCTTCTTGGCATGAAAGCGACATGCCGCTGACTGTTTGGGTACAACATCTTACCAGACTAGATATTTTGAATGCTCAAAATGTAGTTCAGCCTCCACCATACGGATGACAAGAATAAGTATTGATCAGCGGAGGATGTTTTCTTTCTGTGATTCTACTTGGTTTTCAACAGGCTAAATCACATCTGTACGTATCTGTACCAATCCACTCTCTAAACAGGCGATTTGACTGTTTTTGCCTGACTGTGAATGATCAATGGATCAAAGCTATGCCAAGATGGTGATAAGCTTTTTTTGATGTCCAGTGTATATCGGATTGTTTTCCTGGTGGTCAAGTCCTATGAGCTATTTTCTGGGTCTTGTAAACTTTATTTTACTCTTTGTGCTGCCCAGTGGCTGTCAAAATCTTGTCCATTTATGAAAATTATTGAAGCGGAGGATTTGTGGGTTTGAGCCTGGCTCAAACTACCCAGCTGTGGTCAGGAGCCTCTAGTTCCACAATACTGCCAAAAGAGGGTTAGGGTTAGTCAGCCTGAGTGCTTTCAGCTCCCCGTCCATTAGCAACCTGTGCAACCTCGTGGGTCCTAACAGGTTTCTAGTGGTCAGTGTGTCTTAAGATGGGCTGATTTGGAGGAGCCTTTTTGCCCATTCTCATTATCCTGTTGTGTACACTGGGGTTCATAAGTCTAAATAAAGGCACAATTGGCAATTACAAAGTAGGTTGTTGTGTACTTATTCAACTAATTTCTGCTGGTGTCCTCTGTCCTTTTCCAGATAATGATGTCTTTGCTTTCTACAATGCTAAGCTCAAGTCCTGCCTGGGAGTCAAGTCCTCCAGTCTTTACCTTTCGCCCGACTGCAATGCCACTTCGCATCAGTGGAAGTGGGTGTCTCGCAACCGCCTGTATAACCTGGGATCCTCCCGGTGTCTGGGCCTCTCTGCTGGCAACACCAGCGACTCTGTCCTGGACATGTACTCTTGTGACCGTGAGCCAGGGAGGATACGCTGGAGTTTTTACTGCAAGCAAGTCCTAGATACCCTGGATCGCTACCTCCCATTGTCTCTAGGAGCCAACTACACCCAGGTGCCATCCAGGGACCCCTCCCAGTCAGACAGCAATAAGTGGAGACTATACAGCACGGATCAGGACCTCTGCTCCAAATCATACCGCGGTAAGGCATCAGGATGGTGGGCTACTCTCTTGCTACTCTACAGGTCCCCCGTCACCTTTAAAGATTTGTCCTATATGAACATAAATCCACAAAATTGCTTTGCTTTACACTTTACACTCAGGCTTTATAATTTCTTCTGGAGCACTTAATTCCAAATGTCTGTAGCATTCATTTACAAAACGTATCCCGTTTAAGACCAATTCATTCTCTTACCGATGCTGAGAAATTAATTCATCTTCTCAGGCTGAGTCATCTAAGAAATTACTAAGAAATTGCTAAGAAAATCTAAACATTTGTCCTGTGCTGAAAAACATGCACTGGCTACCTGTTTTTTCTAGAATTAATTTTAAAATTGTCTTGTTGACCTCCTCGGCACTGCGTGGTCTGTCTACTGTGTACCTTCAAGAGTTACTATCCCACACGTCCCAGTTTCCTCGCTCCATTCCGCTGGCTCTAGGGTCCTTACTATCCCGGAACTTCACATTGCATGTTCGTGGACCGAGCCATTCCTCAGTAGTCCCTCGTCTTTGGAATATTCCTGATCACATTAAAAACACAATCTCTGCTACTTGTTTTTAATCTCATCTTAACATTTTCAATGTCTTTCAATTCTTCAGCTTTTTAATTTCATGTTTTATCTTTTTTTTCTGTAATTCTCAGCTTCTGTAGTCCATAATTAAAGTAAAGTACATTGAGAATGCGCTTTATTAAAAGGTGCTATATAAGAATAAAATTTATTGAAATGTGTATTTAAAAAAACCTTTAAGTCTTGTAAGGTTATTGTTTTAAAGGACTTACCTTTTGCGAATATTTAAATGTAGTGTATGAAAAATTTGTGACAAATGATATGGGCCCATGTGGCTCAGTTGGAACAGTAACCAAATTATTAAAATATGTACATAAAATTCTCACTCTAAAAAGCACCTGGAGTTAATTTCCCCACAGTGTTCCAGATGAGTTCGCATACTTTCCCCTGTTATTGTCAGGGTATGAAAGACCCTCAGTATAGAGCATTATGCTAAAAGGGTCTAAGAATAATATTTTTTATGGCAGTCATCACTGACATTGCTAGCAGTTTTAATTATGGAAAATTGTTTTCTAATTTATATGTTGAAAATGCAAACCTATGTAAATGAAAACATATTGGCTGTGTGTCAGTCTGGATCTTTCAGAGATGGATGGCAACAGTAGCTTCTCTCAAGTTTTGTTGATCTCCCCTTAATCCTGACTTGAGCATGTTTTAGCATTCATTCTGCTAAACTGTAGTCTGGTTTTATTGTGTATACATTAAAACCCACAGAGGGTAAATGAAGGGCTTCCAGTTCAGTTGCACTGAATTAGAGCCTGAACTCCCTGTTGAGAAACTTTAGCAAATTAGTCTCTTATGGCAGAAAGAAATCTGCTTCTTTTTTAACAATCTGAGCAACGTGAAATGTTTAAAACTTTAAAAGCAAATGTGAAATGAAGCCAATAAAGAGGAAAAATAGTAGAGGCTTGAGCAAGCAAGGCTCCACACTGTGCCTGCTTTCTTGCACAATGAGACGTGAAGAATGTGAGCAGCTTTTGCTCTTGCATTTGACGGGATCCCTTTTGCCACATGGCTGTGTAATCTGGACGTGTAAAATGTCTGTCTAGTCTAGAACAGGAAGAGAACAGCATGTTTGTTTTATTCAGAAGCAGATATATATATATAGGGGATTCATAGAACTCGTAATTAATTAAGAAGTGTACTGTCTGATTTGGAGTTTAACTTTTTTATTCAGTTGCAGTGAGTTTGACTTGAGTTTTCATACCGCTATGAAAAAAATTTGAACTGTATGTTGTCTAGGAAAGAGGCAACCGCTAAGCAAGTAATTAGTAATAGTAACCTGAATATTAGAGCTCTTGAGTTTCACCACTGCCTGCCATGTAGGTAAGTACATGACACCCAGACACAAATGAAAATCTTTACTTTAATTTGGTGCATCAGGTGTATTAACAATTTTACAATATCAATTAATACAAATCAAGAAAATTATGGTATAGTATTAAGTGATCTTACGTAATAATCAGGATATTTATTTGAAAAACTTACTTCATATTAGAATATACTTTTTGCTTCTGATAACATAGAAAAAAAGTTTAACTTTTGGAGAAACTGGTATTGAACAAAAGGGGATTTACAAACAATCGTAAGTATGATTTTATGGAAATAGTATACAACTTAGTTTTCAGGAGGATGGGACATGAGACAATGAACTGGGTAGTTGTCCTCATTTCTTTAAAGGTAAACCTCCCTTTGAGGAGAGCACAAACCTAGAACTAACATGAGCACAGACTTTTCTTTCTTAACCAGTTTTATTTATCCACATAGTACAGAAACTAGAAATGACCTCATCCTAAATGCTATACCAGTCAGTCAATCCAATGGTCATCCTATGGAGCTGGTATAGGCTACACTAGTGCTCCAGTGTTACATGTTAATGGTGCTCTTTCCACATTGGACACTCATGACTCAGTTGAACCAAGTAAGTGAATAAGTCAAATGAGCTGTCAAGGTCTTCCTGAGGTGCTGACTGGGGAATGCTTCCGAAATCTTAAGGAAACCAGGATCAGCGTTAACTGCCTTATTATGGAACTATGTAGGTTTCGCACCTAGATCTAGATCGTGACTGTCATGTCACAGTAGGGTGTAGAAGAGCAATATTTACAGTAATCTTAAGAGCCATTTGTTGGATAAAACATAGGTGAACAAAGCTCAAGGAGATGAAGTTCTCCACTATGTATAAACGTGTATCCATTATGTATGACACTATAGTGTTATGTATTGTAAAGAATGGTATGCCTGGGTATAATTCCAAAGTAAAAAAAACAATTATCAGAACCATGCTACACATTGTCAGATTTTTCTAAAGTGGAATGTGTGTGCAATCTTTCTGGGGAATCCAGCGTTCACAGGAAAGTTCTCTAACCCTGCTGCCTATCTTCCCTGCCCTTCTAGAGATCTATACCATCCAGGGGAACTCCCACGGCCGTCCCTGCACCATCCCCTTCATGTATGACAACCAGTGGTTCCACGAGTGTACCAGCACTGGCCGAGAGGACGGGCACCTCTGGTGTGCCACCACCACCGACTACGGCAAGGATGAGCGATGGGGCTTCTGTCCAGTAAAGAGTGAGTCCAGCTTGGTGCTTCCCATTAGGAGGTGCTGCAGTCGGTCAATCTGCTATCCCCTGTGTCCTGGGACGACTGCTGGTTATTGTGGGATAGCAGTGCTGACTGGGGCCTCTATGCTGGGAGAAGTTTTGTTTCTTCCATTTCACGTTGCAACTGAGCTTTGTTATTTACTGGAATAATTATTGCTTGAAATATTTAAATAGGGATTTTAGCCTGAACTTGATGTGTCTTAACTGTGTTAGGGGCCTTATATCCAATATAATTAACAGTTGAAAAAATTCTCTTAAAAATTAAAGGTAAAATAAAATTTCCCCTTTAAGTTCAGAATCTTTTGTTTTCATAACTCAAAAGACAGCTCCACTGTGGGAGAGTATCTTTGTCTGAAACCGCTGCGATCCTATTTCAGGGGCTCCAGAAGTAATCCTGTTCCAAGCCAAACAGTAAGCAGGATAAGGAGGGGGTGATGGAGGTTAGACCAGGAATGCAGGCCCCCTGGAGTACAGATCAATGATTAAAACCCAGATGTTTTTACCATGAATTTGAAAGCTTCATTTTTCCTTTAGATGAGATCACTGAATAAACGCAAAGTGCTAGCTGTATGGTAAAAAGAAACGTTTCTCACTTTCATGAGTACTACGTCAGAAAATACTGGTGCATATGTAAAATTGAGATTGATATCCTTGTTTTCACAAAATAAGCAAGTGGTTTTAATTGAACAGATATGGATTTCAGTCCTCTTCCCTTCTACCCACATTCTGACTGCAATTCTCTGGCCAAGTCCTGCTGTCCTTTCCCGGACTGGCTGTGTGAATATCTGCCCAATTCTGAATGATGAGCATTGGAATAGCAGGCCTTTCCAACAACTGCTGCCGCACTCCATTTGTAGGGAAATGCCGTTATTGATCTAGTGTTTTTAAATCATGGCCAAGTTAGAAACCAGGGGTGAGAGAATCATTAGGGAACTGTGATAGAAATAGTGTATCCTTTGAAACAGTATGAGTTGTTTCAAAAGAAAGCTTTACAATTTCAGGAACTAAGCCTTTGAAATATATTTTAAAAGAAGTATAAAGGAAGAAGTTTAATGAAAGAAGTTGAAGAAAAGTACAGGATCCAGTTAAAAACATAAATTGTGTAAAGATGCAAGAGAAAGTCAAAGGAAGAACAGCATTTTGCAATAGAGGATGTTCTTTTTGGCGTTGCAACCAGATAAACGAATAAGGCATTAAATCTTTTAGAAATTTTTTATCTACTTTTTTGTGATTATAGATGTTATGTGCATTTTGACTGGAAAGTTGATATATTATGACCATCCATAAAAAGATACCAAAATTTAACACGGTAAGATTTACTGATGTAAGATGTAATGACCAACACGTTCGCAGACGATGCCAAACTAGGAGTATTAACACAGAAGACACTGCATAAAAATTAGATTTACACCAAATACATAAGAACTGGAGGATGTTTAACGCAAAGTTATGTTCAGGTAGCGAAAACCAACTTATTAATATAAAATGGGAAACGCAATCTTGTAGAGGAAAAGAAACATTGACTGTCAACATTCTTGGCTGTTGTAGGCAAATAGCATATCAAGATCACTGCTCAGGTCTGAAGGGTCTCCAGAGAGCCCCAGCTGGAAGGAAGACTTCTGGCAGTGGGAATGGCTGGCTGGGCTCCCTTGGCTACATGGTGACCCTGGTTGTCATTAAGGTGCTTGTGGTGCTGTTGAGTGCTGTGTCTCTCCTCTGGTTGGAGCTGAAGCTCCAGTACAGGGCTGTGGTAACTGGGATGTTTAAAGAGACAGATGACTTGAAGGTAGGAAGGGTTGAAAGAGTCTGCCTACAGTCTTTCTCAACTGTGTACAGTCATGAGGTCTGGAGCTGTGAGGTGAGACCTTGAAAAACCCATATTTGGCTATTCTAAACTGGGAGAGTGTGACATTTAAATAATGAGATGTTAAATTTAGATAATGTGCTAGTAAGAAGTTATTTAGAATGAGTGTAATTTTGGTCACCGCATTGCAACAAATATTGTTGTTCTGGAACCAGTCCAGAGAAGAGTGACCAAATACATACCCAAACCTCTATTTACAATTCCCTTAGTGATTCTGAAGAAGTCCATTGGGTTTGTTGTCAGCTCTTGGGGAGATTTTTAGTACTTGAATCAGGTTGCCTGTGTTCAAGATGGCAGTTATTCTTTTAGCCTGCTGTGGTAAACCCTGGGAATGTATCTGGTTGCTTTTCTGTTTACTGATTCCAGAGCAAAATCTTTTTTGGGATTTTGATGACCATGATTATCTTAATAAATTTAAACAAGTCCTTTTTTTGTTGTATATAATATGGAGCGTTTCTTAGTTCTGTTTCTTTTAAACTTACAGAACTGACAGCTGAACAACAAGAATACTTCAAATTAAATTTATGGCAAGAGGAAAAAACCCTCAGTGTTATTGAGGATGTGTAACAAATGCTGATAAGGAATGTTTAAAAACAGTTACTGCATACTTACCCCTTATCCTTATGAAAGCCTTTGTCAGGACATGCAGACTTGTCTCTGAGATTTTAGGCAGATCATTGCCTAAAAAGAGACATCCTATGACGCATACTAGAAACATACTATGTGAGCCTAAGATCTAATGAGATTTCCCCAGTTAAAGTAACGAAGTGTATACTGAATAATCAGTTAAATGCATAAAACCATTAAAAAAATTCAATAAATATGAACCGAAGATAATGCTTAAATTGTTACAGCTAAAAAATTAACGACTATTTCTACTAAATTTCAAACTGTACCAAAATTACATATAATGACATGAACCTCGAAAGATGAGCTCACTTCTGTATGTATTGTTCTTTTAAAAAGGAAGCTTTTTGTTTTCCATCTTGGTTTAATACCTAGTGGATTGAACACATAAATCAGGTTTTAATTTTTTAAATGAATTTCCTAGAGGATTGATCACCTAGCTGTAGAACAAGGAAGGTAAATGGCGAGAATGTAAACCTCTGGAGACAAAAGGGTTAAGTTGCAATTAAACAAATTTGGAAGAATTCATGGTTTTTGGATACCTGTTGATTTTAATGTGAGTAGTCTTCTGAAGACCAGCATCTGAACTTGTAAAGGTGATCAGGAATGCCTTGTCAGTCTACTGTAAAGGCTGTACTTATTTGAAAATAATGCCAAAAGAACTATTCTGCAGAATTTCATAGAGGTGAAAGAGAAAAAGGTCTAGTTGATTTTGCTGTTAGTTTCTTTGAGAAAGAGGGTGTTTGAGGACAATGTTTCTTGGCAGATGTGGTAAGTGGCTCTTGTGAGGCCTGTTGTAAGGCAGTAGCTTGAAATAGTGTATCTATAACTGCGTGAGATAAACGGGTCTTCTTTGCTGTTCTTGAGGCAGAAAGTTTAGAGCATCGATAACAAGCATCTTTAGATGAGCAGGGGGTGAACTTTCATTTACATTATTAAGGTAACGTAAAATGTGATGTGAACCAACTTTAAATTGGTTAGAGAAATTTCACAAGCTAGAATGATGCCCTTCATTTTTTTAATGAAATATAAGACTGCACTACTCTAAGTTAATAGGAATTGATTTGATGTGATTTGTGGCAATTAGAATAATTTGAATAAGGTGAAAGTGCCCAAAGGATGGGATGGAGAACTGAGAAGCCTAGGGTGTTGTGAGTCTGTCTGTTATAATACTTATTAAATACAACAGAAGGGGCTTCTTGTGTGGAAAAAGAAGATCTTTAGGAGATGACTGAGCTTACTGCGGAATAGTTAGCATAGTCTGGTTTTCTAGAAGGAATATCTCTCAACTGTCTCCCGATAAATGAAGTTATAAAAAAAGATTGTGTTCCTGTATCTGGGTGACATAAACAGTTTTCAAGCTGAGGTTGTTTCTTACTATATAACATTTCTGCTGCTGCTCTGTTTTGTTTTTGCTGCTAAAAACTCACGTTGTGCTGTATGTGTATTTATTATTGCAGTCAGTGCTCTCATTAATCTGATTATTTTTTAGAAAGTAGTTTCACTGCTGGGAAAACAAACACTGCTGAACATTATGTGGATAATGCAGTAGTAAGGCCTTATTTAGAATATTGTATATGATTTTGGTGTTCGTGTTATAGAAAATATCCTATTTTCTATGTATACTGTATAGCTGCTTTTTAACTAGTGCAGAAAACAGGAACCAAATACTGTAGAAACCTGGATTTAAGGGAATGTCTGGGACCAACAAACTGAAGGAACCTGACCTCTTTAATCTTAAATACAAGTATTAAAAATCCTCATGGACACTGACCTAGTCAGCCTTGTGGACGTCCTCAGAATGCACATGAACCAACAGACAAGTTGAAACTGTGCACATCTTTATCCAAAATGTTGTGGAAGTAGGGAACAAGCTGCCCAGCCATGTTATTGAAGTCAACCCTGCCTTCTTACAGGAAATGACTGGATGGGATCTTCGGATCTATTGGCTACTAACTACCAATAGATTACATGTCAGTGTGTTTTCCCAGTGCAAAGTGCTTATGCCAAGAATTGCAAAAGAAAGCTTTCATTTTAGTTTTTCATTTTTTTAATTTCTTGTACAATCTCGAAAACCATGGTAAGGTAACTCTGTTGATTAGTGCTTGGTGCTCCCCCCTGTGAAACAGGGTTAGGGGTTCAAATCCTGGGTGTGATGCTGTTGTGGTATCCTTGAGTAAGGTACTTTTCTCTGCTCCAGCAAATGCCATGCTGTAAAAGTGCCCCTGTGCTGACATTGTGATTCACCTGCTGAAATAATAGTCCTCAGAAAAATGATATTTTAAGCACTGCACATCTAGTAATTATCAGTGTAAAATGTAGAGAAAATATATAGACTTAACATTAAGCATCTTGATTTTACCTACTGGCACCCAGGTCCTGGCTGCGAGACCTTTTGGGATATGGACCCTGTGACTGGCAGCTGTTACCAGTTCAATTTTCAGTCCACGTTGTCCTGGAGTGAGGCACGTGTCAGCTGTCAGCAGCAAGGGGCAGACCTGCTGAGCATCACGGAGGTGCATGAACAGACTTACATCAACGGTGAGTCCAGCCAGCACTTGTACTGCTTGGTTTTCTTCTAACCATGATTTGCAGCAAAAAAGTAACTGTCATGTACTGAAGAAAAAAGCTTTGTCACAGAACTGTGGCTGTCCTTAGGTTCTGTGACTGTCCTATACAACTGTTAATAGTTTTCCTTCTTTCTCCTTAGGTCTGTTGACTGGTTACAGTTCCTCCCTGTGGATTGGCCTCAATGATCTGGACATCAATGGAGGCTGGCAGTGGTCAGACAGCTCTCCTCTCAAATACCTCAACTGGGAGGCAGGTGAGAGACTAGTCCACCCCTGTCCTGTCAGCAGTTGTCCATTTAAAAATAGAATACCTAAAACCTACCTAGGGAGCTTCAATCGATTTTAGGATGTGCACGTAACTATTTGTAACAATTATTTAGATGTTATTTTCCTGTTTCATTTATACTGCATATCCCCCATGTCTTTGTTCCTTTTGATCATATTGTATGGGATAATTCTGTGGCTTTTGCAATCCTGTTACAATAGTGTGACGCTTGAGGCATTTATGAAATGCCATTTCTGCTGTCTAACTGTTTTCAAAAGTTGTATGTGTACATAAGTGACATTTCCCAATACCTGATGTGACAAGAAAATGGAATCATGTCTATGTTTGGAAAGTACTCCAAAACATTGACAGAGTGCTTGAGTAAAGCTGAAACTGTCAACTTGGCCTTAATTATTTTTTTCATTATATTTTGGGTAAGGAAATGTATGAATTATCACTATAAGCTCCTTATTTTTGGTGTATCTGTACTGATTTTGTGAGTAAAATAGCTTTTAGAATGATTTAAAACTTATGAAAAGTAACTTGTAGACAGATATGATCCTGCCAAAGTGCGGCTCCAGTTTCCAAAACGCTTTTCATTTGAAACTCCTCGCTCTACTCCAGTGAAGGCTGGCAGGGGTAAAGGACACCGGAGTGTAGGGACAACAGCAGAAGGGATAGACAATGAAAATGCAGGGGCTGCAGAGCTCTGTGAGAGTGGCAGCACTGTCCCCGCTCACGCACAACCCTGCAAACGTCGGTCTGAAACAGCTGCCCTGCTGTCGGGCCCTATAGCATGAACATGCAGCCAAGCTGTCCAGTGATGTGCCTCTCTGCTCCATTGCTCACGGCTGTGCCGCAGTGTCAGAGGTCGCCAGTTTCGATACGGCAGAGCCCTACGTGAACATGAGGGCTGCTTCTATCCCTAAGAAACTGTGCCTTCACTCCAGACCAACCAGACCATGTGGATGAGGAGAACTGTGGGGTGATCCGGACAGAGTCCTCTGGGCGCTGGCAGAACAAGGACTGTGCTATGGCTCTCCCGTATGTGTGTAAGAAGAGGCCCAATGCCACCATGGACCCTTTCAGCACAGGTACTGTTTACTCCACCAGTCATCGTAAGCGAATCTCTTCTCCTTAGCTTTAACAAAACTGCATGGAGGTGTGGTATGTGGTAGTGTGCACTATTTTTCATAATGAATTGGTTATGCTTTAGCTGTTGCATCGCACAATGTTACAAATATGAGTCCAGATGGTAACAATAATTCAGAAATATTTGACAAAGGAAAAACATCAGACTATGACCAAAATTAAAGTGAAGCTTCAACCCAACCGCTGTTTTCAAATTACAGATCTGGTCAGTAGCTGGTGACCCCTTTCCACTGAGTAAAAGAAAAACATTTCTGGCAAACCCATGGGCTCTGTCCTGGGGTTTTTCACTTGCTGTTTGTATGTCGGTCAGATCGAGCTCATGAGGAAATCCTTAGCATCCTGTAACATTTGCTCTGCTAATTTTGTTTGATATTTTGGGATAAGTTTTGTAATGTACTAGGAAATAGTACAGATTTTAAGTGAAGTAGTCTTTGCAGATGCACTTTTCCAATCTGACTTTCCACCATTTGATGTGCTTCCAGAATATGTGAGGCAGTATAGCAGCATGATATTAGTGTTGTAGCTTTCAAGCGAATGTGCTGGGTTTCATCCTGACCTTGGGAACCTGTCTGCTTGGAGTTTCAATGTTCTCTGGGACTAAGCAGCTGATGCAGAGTGGAGGAGTGGCTTGTTTATCGGTAATCCCACACTTCAGGTTTTGGACGGAAAACAATTGTTCCCAGAGTTGTGAGAGCTTATAGTGTCTTCTTGATTTTGATCTGCCATCCATTTCCATGTTTCCATTGTAAATTTAACATGGTAACTTGCATTCATTTTTCCAACTGTATTCCTTTACTTACATCATAGTGTTTATTTTGCTTTTCCCCATTCCTCAGTGTTTTGTGGTTAAACATGCCTTTTACCACAACTTACTGTGTTTCACTACCTTGTGCTGTGCTAATATCCCAGTACACGGTAGAGCTTTCTCAGGGGGGGTGATTTGAGGCAGAATGCTTGTGTTTGAGCAGACTCCTGGGCGGAGGAGAAGAGGGAGTGTGACGCTGGGTGGCAGCAGTTCCAGGCCAGCTGTTACCGTTTCAATGCAGAGAAGATGGAGTGGGAGGACGCACAGAAGGCCTGCCAGAAGATGGAGGCCAACCTCGTGAGCATTCACACACTGCCAGAGCTGGAGTTCATCATTAAGACGGTGAAGCGAGGTAAGAAGTCCCTGGCTTGCAGGGAGGGATATACTCCTATTGGTACCCGAAGCCTGATGTGCATGAACTGCACTTTAACTTTGATATTTTGCACGTCTCATTGTTATTCCATGTTATCCCACTGTTATTTTATTACTGGTGTGTGTTTATGGAGGTTTTTGAATGTTTTGTTGATGCATTCTGTTGTTGGTTTTATGTTTGTATTTGAATCGAATCAAATTGAATTTGAACTCACCGAACCAAATTCCTTGCAGCTAGTTATTATGGCAATAAAGTATTGAACTTATTTTTGTGAAAGATAGACCTCTTGATTCCTCTGTGGGCTTATCCAGTCACAGTAATACAGGGTAATTTTAATCTGTATGATTTCGGCACCACCCTCCTCACATCATCCGTGAGTTGGGTCAAATTCCAGTTCTCTTACATATTGTTACTAGTAGTGGCCTAATGAAACATTATTTGATTTTTTTTTTGATTTTGTGACTAGCCTAGTTCAGGCTTTTAAAGTGTCTCAACAGTCTTCAGAGCACAGATTTAAAACAGCTGGTAGTCAACATTTCCCTTTGCATTAATTTTAATTACTCTTAATTAAATCCATTCCCAGGCTTCTGAGTTGCAGTAGAAAGTCTTTTGGTGAGGCTCTGGATGATCGTAGTTTGTGGGGGGCAGATTTTGTCTGGTTTTGACCTGGCTTGGTCTGTGGGTTTCCTGTAACGGCCCTTCTGTTTTCAGATGTGAACGAACTGTGGATCGGTCTCCACGACACCAAGATGCAGATGAACTTTGAGTGGTCTGATCGCACCCCAGTCATCTTCACCTACTGGCACCCATCTGAACCTAACAACTTTAACAACACGCAGGAGGATTGTGTCAACCTCTGGGGCCCTGTGTGTGACCACATTTCAAGGCTTCTCTTTAATTGTTATTAATTTTCCTGTTGTATCACTTCTCCTAGTCATTTACCTCTTCAAATTAGTTCTAATAATGTGATGAGAATAGTGATTGACTTCATGACATTGAGCTAAATCAGGTGTTACCTGTGGGCATATTTACAAATGGGAGCAACGGCCACATTAACGTAAAGACAGATGAAGACTTTCAATGTGAGACCTGGTCAGGAAACATGGATATGCATAATACCGTTCACTATGCTATGTGCCCTTGTTTGATTACACTTTTACCATTCAATAATCACTCATTCAATTCAGGGTCACAGTGGCCCACAGCCCATCTTGGAAAGCACTGGGCATAAGGTGGGGTAACAGTCCATTGCAGGACATTAAATACACTTTTAAGTTTTGTTATTGATTTTAAATATTACATTTAAATCCACTGCGTTTTAATGCTGTATCAAAAGTCCATGTGTGATAAACATTCCCTTTTTGAAGCAAATTGTTAAATGCCTGCTGTGATTGACTTTTCTAACATGCCTCAATAAGCACATCTGGACTCCTGCTTGTACTTTTTTCCCAAGTTCAAGCTGGAGTTCATCGTGAATTTTTCGTGGGTCTGTTTCCAGGAGGGTCGCTGGAATGACAACCCCTGCAACAAGTCCCTGCCTTCTATCTGCAAGAGGCTGGGGACGAAGACTGATGGGAAGATACTGGACCATGGCTGCAAACCGGTATGAGCCCAGACCCCGTCAGACTGACTGGCTGACTGCCAGTCACACCAGATCTTGCTCACTTATAAGAACACCAGAGTGCAACCGTTCAGCCCATCTGGTGCACTTGACATGTAGTAGTTAACACCACTGTTTGTGGGATTAGTTCCTTGCTAGAAGGGTAGCTTGTTCCATACTCCTTCAACCCTAGATAGAGATAGAAACTCACCTCCTCCTCTTGGTTTTAAATTCACTTCCACATAGTTTTCATTCTGTTCTCTGGTTTGTTTCAGATTGATTCAGAAGAAGCCCACTGGGTTGACGTCAATGCCTTTGAATTTAAATTTTTAGATCAGGTTCCATCATAGTCTTCACTGTTCAAGGCTGAAAGGCTCAGTTCCTTTAGCCTGTAAGTGTAGGACATTTCTTAAACCCCAGGAATGCATCTTGTTGATCTTCTTTGGACTGATTCCATTGCATCAATCATTTTTATAGCATGGTGACCAAAATTGTACACTGTATTCTAATTTAACTCTTACTGTGCATTGAACAGCTTTAACATAACATCCTTTAATTTAAATTCCATACTGTACTTTTGATATACTGTATAGCCTAAAATACTCTTGACTTTAAGCTATATTGGTTGTCCTTTACTGTGGTACACATGTGCCTAGGGGTACAGTACATTAACTGGCTCCAGGGGGCACTTGGAGAAAAATGGCAGATTTTACGCATTTTTTTAAAATTCCCATAAATATCGTTAGCTGCTTTTACCGCAAGACAAATTCCAAGTTGCTGAACTTAACAATGAGAACACTTCATGCACAGAAAACATTTGCACCATTTACATCCAATGTTGTTACAGTCTGATGTCTAACAGGTTGCTTCAGTTGTAATTGGTTTATAGTGAAGAACTTTGAATATGCTTTTGAACCATCACTTAAAATGACTTTTACACAGATACTTGGAAATAAAACAGACAAACCACAAAACAGGCATAATTGTAGCGTTCGGTAAGCAAGAAAATATTGTACTCCAATGGTGGCACTAAAGCTCTTTGAGCATCAGACCCGGGTCAGGAAAGCCTCAAGCAGTATACTGTGCTTGCTGGGCACCATGCTTTGGTATAAATGAAATTTATATTGGTAGAAATGCAATTCAAGATTTTTCTTGGTCAAAATGTGTTGGAATTTGCACAGATGTTGCAAAATCGCTGACCGGGACACATAGCACAGTGTTGCTGGAATTAATGTGTGAAATCATGTATGCAATTGGTGTGTTCCAGTCTGCTTGGTTGATCAGTCCGCAATTTGCTGATCAGGACAGTCAACGCTTTGATGTAGTTTTCCACAGGGCGCTTTTGCAAAACCGGATTTGTGTGACCAACTGGGATAAAATCAAAGTAAAGTGAAGAAAACTGTTTGCACCTGAAACTGCCTTCAAGCACTTACACTCTAAGAAATAGGCTAATCCACATGTCTCATGTTCTTCATGTTCTTCCATGCTTCTTGTGTAGCTTGGCTATGAGTGACCAAAGGCTTGGGCGGTCCCAATTTCTTTCTTAAAAGAAATGTTTTCTATATTTTTAGTATCTGTATGCATAGTATCTTTTAGTATCTTAACGCATATAATCAGAAAATAGAAATATAAATATGAAATAGGTAAGATGGCTGAACGCTTGGGAAAAGTGTTATTCAAAGTTGGTTTATCTGGATAGGGTTTTGCAGCAAATGTTTACATTTTACTCGTTTTTAAAAACGTATTTGAAATTTTTTGTTGTGTTTTTATTTGTTGATCATCAATTAATAATAATAATAATTGCTTACACTTATATAGTGCTTTTCTGGACACTCCACTCAAAGCGCTTTACAGGTAATGGGGTCTCCACTCCACCACCACCAATGTGCAGCATCCACCTGGATGATGCGACGGCAGCCATAGTGCGCCAGAACGCTCACCACACATCCGCTATCAGTGGGGAGGAGAGCAGAGTAATGTAGCCAATTCATAGAAGGGGATTATTAGGAGGCCATGATTGGTAAGGGCCAATGGGGAAATTTGTCCAGGACGCTGGGGTTACACCCCTATCCTTTTCGAGAAACACCCTGGGATTTTTAATGACCACAGAGAGTCAGGACCTTGGTTTTACGTCTCATCCGAAGGATGGCGCCTGTTTACAGTATAGTGTCCCCGTCACTATGCTGGGGCATTAGGACCCACATGGACCGCAGGGTGAGCACCCCCTTCTGGCCCCAGTAACACCTCTTCCCAGGAGGTCTCCATCCAGGTACTGACCAGGCTCACACCTGCTTAGCTTCAGTGGGTTGCCAGTTGAGTTGCAGGATGATATGGCTGCTGGCTAGAATTAGAACATGAGAAGGGCTGAAATACCTCCTATTATGTAAAACAAATTGAATTTATTAATTAATCCAAAGATGAAGTAAATATGATAAGTTTCTTCAAACCTGGAGCTTGTTCTGAACATTGCACTGAGTTCTGAGATGATGTAGAAAAGTAGAGGCTGCAAGCCCCATTTAATTTCTTTAAAACAGGCTTCCTGTGCTGTTAAGTGTTTGTTTTGGGTGGTAATCCAAAATTTCAAATCTAATATAAAGCTTTTTTATCATTCTTAAACTTGGAGTAATCACATTTTAATCTATTTTTTTACTTGCCTTTTCTCCTAAAGGTGGACTAAAATGTGTAAATGTTTGTAGAAAGGCCTTCATCAGCAACAAAAGTAAAAATGGAGGGGTGGCCTTAAAATCACAAATCGGTGTGTAGCTAGTTTTGGAAGGATTCCAAATAAACAGGGTTTGCTGCTCAGTGTTTAGTGTGTTAGCATTGTTGCATGATTTGTTGCTTACTTTTGTCGCTGATGAGCTGCACTGTTCCAGAGTACAAAGAAAGTGACCTTGATCTTGCACTTGAAATCTGCAGTCTGGCACATGGCCTATACAAAAAGCCCATTCACTGTCCTGCCCAATTATGTGGAGACAGACTTGATACTGAGGCCTGTCCTCCAGCTGTTTACAGTCAGTGGTTATTTGAATGTACATTGTAAATATTTGAAACCTCTCGCTGTCTTATTAATCACTGCTGCCGGTCTTTGGAGGTCAGCCAGACTGTCCGCTCTTCAGTGCTGGAAAACTGGAAAACTCTTTGCTATCTTTTACAGCTTTTACAGTTAGGGTTATCTTTTTTTGTCCCTTCTTCTCTTTTGCTTTCAAAACCATCAGCTTCTTCCTGCAGTGTGTAGAAGATAATTACCATGGAGAAATCCCCATCATGCTGTAGCTGGGGTTTATAAAATGTTTTTTTGGGAAATTGACTCTCAGTTGTTTTGCCACCATGCTAAACTAAGTTGCCAATTAAAATAATAATAAAAAGCAGTACTGGAAGTGCAAAGATCCACATTGAAGTGGTCAAGTCTATTCCATTGACCAGAGAATGGAGTTGTATTGCGATTAAACCAGGGCTCTAGGCCTCCTCTGTGCTAATTCTACCGACCCCAACCTTGTCTGGGGGAGATGTGATTCAGAGAAAAGTGGACAGTCTTCATCATGAAGGTGGTCACACATATGGTGTAGCCCAGCTGTCTCTGGAAAGAATCCAAGAAAAGGAACAGAAATCACAGAAGAGAGCAGGCCTTTTGGTTCATCTTGCTTGTTGGGCTGGTACTGACTTATTTCTCCACTGAGAAAAGGCCAGAGCAACAGACATGCTGCATTACTTCACTTCTTTCTCTGGCAGGGGCTGAGATTGTGTAAGAGCTTGCGATGAGAAACCAGGTTTCCTGATCACGCCTTCAGCTTCTAGATTAATTTTAGAGGAAGGAATAACTTTTTGAATCACACCCTGTGTGACTTATGCATCGAAGAAATAGAATTGTGAAATTTTCTGAAAGGTTGCTTTCTTTGCTGAATTATGCATTGTGAAATGTATTCTTCCTTCCTTAAAATTGATATTCTTTACAGTTGTATACTGATACTTGCCATGTTTTTTGAAACAGTTCAGCTGGCTAGAGAAGATGTAATCTAATTCCAATCTACGCCACCAGGGATTGAGTTTCCCAGTGCTGTGAAGGCCATCGCTTCAGTGTTTCATAATACAGAAAATCTGGAGATAGTGATTCTACATTTCACCTACATTGAGTCATAAATTGCTGGGAAATAATAAACTGAATTACACCCCATTTCAGTGGTGAAATAGGTGGCAAAATTGAGTTTAGGGAATTGAACTGGCGGGATGTGTATGTGAAACTCTACAGTGTTGATGCTGGGTTTTTTTCCCCACTCATGCAGTTTTTCTCAATTCAAATTGTCTTGAGGGCATAGTGGTAACATGACGAAAGAAATTATTCAAGGAGAAATGGCAGTCATGAGTTTTGTGGTGTTTTCATGTTAGTGAAAAGACTGAATGCACAGGAATGTAACTCTAAAGCACAAAAAACCTGCTGTAACGTGTTCTGAAAATTAGTTATTTTGTTGTTTTTTCAGTTGCCCAGTTTTCTAAAGCTCATTGTGTAGTTATTATTTAGATGGTTGTTTACTTCTACCTTGCTTACAGATGTGCAGTTTGTGTGGTACAGATGTTGCAGCTTACATTGCCCTGGTCCTTACTCCATAATGACCATGTCCAAAGCTGGAAGAAGGGCCACATGGCTCAATGGTATTTCACACTGGAGAGTCTTCTATGTGGGGTTTGGACTCTCCAGGTCTATGTAGGTGTTCCAGTTTCCTTCCACCTTCCACAGATGTGTTAGATATGTAACTGGGATCTCTGGATTTCCCTGTACATGCTCCGTGGAGCACCTTTTCCCCATTTTTCTGTTGTAGCATTTGGAGTCAATGTAACATTTTTCTTTGTAGAAAACTGCTGTAAAGTTTTAGAAAATATTTAGTGGATATGAATGATAAGGTAATAAAGAATTGTGGGATTACTTGCAGAGAGTGAGAAATGTTTTACAGATGAGGTAAAGATGAGCTTCTGGAAGATTCAGATCTTTCTAAGCCTCATTATCTTTACTGAGCTTTAGGTCAGATCTGAAGGTCAAAAGACCATTTAAGGTTTGTAATGAGATGTGTTTGGCTCGGATTGAAAACTTGTTTATGGTAAAAGCGGCATGATTTCTAAAATGCCAAAACCTTCTTCTGCAAATCTCCCCGTGGATAAATTCGCCCACTCAGCATTTTGGCAGGAATTCATTACACATCTGTGAGCTATTTTAAGAAAACACCAGCCAGATTTTTAAAAAAGTTTAGGAAGATTCATTATTACAGTAAATTTTCTTAGGAGCTTCTTGGTCTCCTTCTGTTCTTCTAGGGCTGGAAGTGGCACAGTCCTTCCTGCTATTTACTGGGAGAGGAGTCCACGACTTTTGATGAAGCCCGGAAGACCTGTATAAGCAGCGAGGCCACCCTGGTCACCATCATGAACAGGTGCTGCGAACGCAGGAGCCTCAGTGAAAGCAGAGGTTAACTCGTTTATTGTTGATCTTACCGATGAAGGGCAATCGGGTGTCTTTAGTCCATGTATTTATTTTAAATAACTTTAGCTTTTCCACCTTGAAATGCATCCCCATTCGTGCACAAGTTTTTATACAATAAGAGTAAGTAAACTGCATTCTTTGAACACTAATAATAGAAATACAATACAGTTAAAATAATTCAAACTATTAATTTTGAATATCAGGCTGTATGTGTCCAATTTTTTCTGACCCCTTTATACTGGCGTCTTCCTTGTCTGTCAGGTTTGAGCAGGCGTTTGTGAGCAGCCTGGTTTATGGTCGGTCAGGGGATTACTTCTGGACCGCTCTCCAGGACCAGAACGGGACAGGCGCCTTCCACTGGCTTAGTGGTGATGAGGTCACTTACACCAACTGGAACCGTGACCAGCCGGGTGAGTGGGGAAACCACCCCTTTGTTATTATGGGTTTCAGTAGTCAGATTGGGAGCTGGTGGACGCGATCTCTTCACAATAGCATACCCGTTCAGGTAAAGGGCAGTGACCTTGGTGATTGAAGCCCTCACCTGTTTGAAGGCATTCATGCAGTGTTAACCTAGACCTACAGCTGGGTTCTTGATACCACCGTCCTGTGCTTGGGCTCACTGCTGTAGATCCCTTCCACACCAAAATCTGGTTGGAACATGAGAGACTCTAAACAAGGTCATTTTGGACATCTTGGCAGTTAGTAGCCAATGGATCAGAACATCTCATTCTGTGGCTGCTTTCAAGAAATGGCAGGATTATCTTCAGCTACATGGCTGGGTAGTTTGTTCCATATTCACACAGCCTTCAGGTAGAGACATTCCTCCTGTTCTGTTTTACACGCCCTTCCCTGCAGGTTTTACTTCTGTCCTTTTGGTTGATTGACACTTGAATTGAATCACCACATAGTTTCCACTGGCCAAACCCGTAAGAGCATGGTGCAATTCTAACATCGCTTGATCTACGATGTATAACTGATGAAAGTGTAGAATTTAACGTTCCTGTCTTCTCTCCTTCCCCATTCCTGTTTTAATGGTCCGATCTCTGGCCCATACAGGCTTTTTTGTTCCTTTACCGGGTGTCTTCTGCATTGTGTTCAGGATTCAGCAAGGGTGGCTGTGTGGTCATGGCGACTGGCAGTGCCACGGGGTTGTGGGAGGTGAAGGACTGCAGTTCTGCAAAGGCCAAGTACATCTGTCGGCAGAATCTGGACACCGCTCTGAGCCCCGAGCTGCCCCAGCCTGCCCCCACGCCCAGCCTCACCGGGTCCTGCCCACAGGGCTGGAAGACCAGCAGCTCTCTGCACCACTGCTACAAGGTAGTCCTGCAGCTCTGTGGGAAAGACAAAGGCACAGGGCAGGAGTTTGGAGAATTGTGCGTAGTGTGAAACATGATCCCAAAACTGCTACAGCTGCTTAAGTACATACTGTTTTTTTTCTATCTGACACAGAGCAGACTTCATTTTTTACCATTATAAAAGTGAGTCACTTTTTTCAAGATGCTTTTGGTATAAGCTAATGTCCTCTACTCCTTTAGTGTAGCCCCATGGTTCTGTCTGTCACTGTCATTCCTGTGTTTGCCAACACTACAGGAATACGAGTCATTGATCTAAATCAGGCTAAAAAATCTCTGCAGCAAACCACCGCTTACATCTGCCCAGATAGATGTTGTGCTCCTTAAGATGATGCAGTATTTCCTGTTACCAGCTCTCAGTCAATACACATACATTACCTCAGATTCTTGTGGCTTTTAATTTGAGGATCAGCCTATTAGAAGGGACTTTATTAGGCTTCCAAAAATCGTATGATGTATATTATGCTTTATGTTTTATAATTTGTTGTTACGTTAGCAGTTCTCCAGTTGGTAAGTTGTGCTTGCAGTTAAGCATATATAATAGTTATAATGTATAAATGTTAATAAAGATGTCTAAGCTAGGATAACATCCCTCTTTTCCTTGGGTCTGACTAGGTAAATGTTGGGACCTGGTGATTTTGTTGAATTGCCCCTGTAGAGCGTGTCGGTAATGTCAAAGAACGAGCTCCATCAATATTGGATGATGTTTTTGGTATTTTCTGTTGCCAACATACAGAATGAGTATTTTACTATTTCTGTTATCTTCAAGAATTAATTCCTTATTATATCAAAATCTGTTTACTCCTGCTTTTTTAGTTTTTTCCAGTTATAGTACTGAAACAAATGTTGGTTTGTTTTTACTAATAATGCAACTTTTGTTCTCTCCTTCTTCATAATGCTAAAATATTTCATTTGTCCCTTAAACTAAGTTTATCCTATTTCTTTCTTTAAAAACTTGAGCACTTTTATGGAATGTGTGAGAAAAAAGGCAATTTTCCATTTGATTTTTTTTGTGTGGAGGGAAAAAAGTTGTCGGGGAGCCCCTGAGTGGTTCACTGTGCATTGATCTAGAGCACAGGCTGAGCCCTGTATGCCAGCCATTAGCAGTTTGTGTTGGCATGTATCACTGGCTGGCAGGGCTTGGGATTCTCCAAGCAGTGGCACATGAACCGCCAAGCGCCAGGGTACGACAGGGAGGGTGGGTTTCTACTCAGCCAGGTTGTCCTTGACTTGCCAAACATCACTAATCTGCCTTCAGTGCTTAGCGTCAAACTGTTGCATTAAGGACTCACAGTGTTCAAAGGCAGATGGCTCAGTGGACACTTAGGAGCATGGTGTGTGTCTTAATTCCTCCTGTTGGCCTTGCCAACATTATACTTAGCTGCCACAATATAAATTACAATGTAATTACTGCTACTGGCTTTAAAATGTTTATGGAACAGCCTGCTGTATGTCCATACAACAACTGCCTGTTGTTCTATAGGTGTTCTCAAAATATCATGTTGTGGGAAATTCTTCATCAGAGGAGCAGGACACACTCTTGTGCGGTTTCAGTTTTATTGAGCTCGATAAGTTTAACAACGCGCACTGGGTCTGCCCCTCATAACAGACAAACTGCAAGAGTTTCCCAGCTCTTATATACAGTCAGAAGAAAGTTTGTTTCACAATCTGAGTACTTGTCCTGTTCTTTGATATGTAATTACTTTTTGTCCTACTCTGTCTTGCTCTAGGTTCTGTCATTTGATATGCAGCAGACATTGGTCTGCTTTATCCTGTTTATGGGTGTTGTTCCTGTCTTTTATTATGTAGCGTTAAGCCACTGGGGCTGCTAAAGGTATCTTAGTGGAACTTTCCTTTAAGGCTAAATTAACAGACCCCATCAATACCTCTCACAATGTGTGTAAGTGGTGATACTGTGATGCTGGATAAGTGAGATATATACATTTCCCACTTCAAACATACCACAATTACAGTTCTTTTGATATTTCATCCATGCATTTGACCTTAATTTGGGGCGGAGCGGTGGCTCTGTGGCTCAGGATCTGCACCTGTGGCTGAAAGGTTGCCGGTTCAAATCCCGCAGCCAGCAGAGGAATCCTACTCCATTGGGCTCCTGAGAAAGGCCCTTAACCCCAACTGCTCCAGGGGCGCTGTACAATGGCTGACCCTGCGCTCTGACCCCAGTTCCTAATGCAAGAAATTGTAAAGGGTTAATAACGTAATGTTTTATTATATATAACCTGAGAGGTAAACAAATTTAGATTAATTTTCTCTGTAGCTCTGGAAATACATTAAACCCTAGTGTTTGTGGATGTACAATATCTTCTTCATTCAGCTCTGATTCTCCTGTTTCTCCAGGTTTCCGTTCCATACCCATATTGAAATTTCTGAATTCCAATATACATGTATATACAGTTTGATATCAACTACTACTCTACTCTACTACTCTGACACTGCTGCAAAGAGCACCTGGTATTTCTAACTTTTTGTAAGGCTCTGTGCCGTTATATATATTATCCAGTATTGCAAATCCACGACATGCTTTGTCTCATTTGTGCTTTAAGGCATGATTGTGACAAGGGTTCAAGGACTTCTCCGTTTGCCCTGAACAGGGTTGAACTGCCCAATTGTTCTCCTTTTTAACAGTATGAAATGTTATATGGCAAGAATCACCAGCAATATGCTGTAGTATCTTTGCAACACTAAAAGGTCTTCTGAGGTAAACAGTGATTTGTTCTTGGGCTGGCCTGACAAAAAAAAATATTGCATTGGCCTTCTAAACTGCGGTAGCTTTGCAAATTTCGTCATATTAGAAGGAATTTCTGTATTTGCGAAAGTAATCAGTAACAGACCCTGTAGCTGCCAGCAAGCAGCAAAGTGATGCTTTGAGCCCAGAGCTTCCTAAGGGACCATAGAGACGCGGCGATTCTGCTGGCGTTTCTTCCAAGAGAAAAGCAACCAGTTCTAGCACGTGTTTCTAATCAAGCCCGAGGCGGCTGGTGAGCACTCATGGCCTCACTCCCACAAGATTAGCTCCCACTTGAGTAAACAGAGACTTGTTCTTGGGCTGTGCTATCAAAACACCCATCCCCGGCCCGCGGTCTGTGGAGTGTGAAGGATCCAGTACTGGCCAGACCAGCAGCCTAGAGTGGAAGTAAAAGAAATGTCTGTTGTAGGTAGTAAAGGTATGAGTTGTGCCAAAGGAGGAAATAAATGTAGACTCAGGTCTTACTGGTTCCACTGGGATGAAGTATTAAGTATTAAGGTTTCTTCAGTCCTCCCCTCCTGTATCTCCCAGTTCTCACAGCCTTGTGTCCCCTCTCTGCTCCCCCAGGTGTTCCACTTCCCTCAGCTGCATCAGCGCCTGAGCTGGGTGCAGGCCCACCTGTTCTGCCGTAAACATGGAGCTCAGCTCCTCAGTATTGGCAGCTTTGATGAAGAGCAGTTTGTGGCCCAGATCCTCCATGAGACGTTTGGGTGAGACCCCATTACTCTTCCTCTGGACCTTTTCTCTGTGCCACACTACCACAGTAAATTCAGGATTGTAAGGATACATGGTAGCTTTAAACTGTTTTTAAAATCCTATTCTTTAGTAATTAAGTATTTAGTCATTTTTATAAAGGCACTAAACTTTGACAAAGAATGTTGAATTTCAGGCTTTGATTGTGAAGTATGAGGTTTTCCGATGCTTTGTGTAGGAAAGGCTTTAACAGTGTAATGCAGGTTGATGAGGAACTTCACAAGGAATTTATATTTATTTTAATAAGGCTTTTGTGATTTACCTAGATCACCTAGCTACCAGCATCTACTGTTAATATTTGTGGCTATCTATTTTGTTAAGCTCGCACAGATTCATAAATTTTAATTTGAGGTAAATGGATGTTTTTGTAATTGCTGTGATATAAATATTGTTTGATAAACATGCAAAACAGTGAAGTATATCTAGGAGAGAACACCACAAATTCCTAACAACTCTATGGGTTGATTTGGCAAGAGAGTTGACTTTGACTTTGGATGGGGAGGAGCACGGCTCTCTGTTTTCCTGACTCCTTTGAGAGTGCTCCCCCGGGCGTGGCTAGACTTCACAGGCAGGGCTGACTGCGTATCTCCCCTCAAGTCCTAATGTTTGTACGCCATCCCTTCTAACCTCTGGAAAAATACTGTAGGAACTGGTGGAACATTAAATTAAGGGCTGCAACAGATTGCTCTGCAGCCACCATGTGCACACATACCTATCTATTAAATTGTAAATAATAAATTAATTATTAGGGAGATGCTAATAGAGTTCTGCACATCACTTGTCCTGTGCAAGCAGTTAAATGACACTACCTAAATGAACATGGAGTCCAGTTTTCTGTCGGATCACTTGGGTCTCCTCTCCATTCATTCCTGTTTGCAGGGAGTCGGAGGACCATGAACAGCACTGGTTCTGGATCGGCCTGAATCGCAGGAACCCTGCAGACAAGGGCAGCTGGAAATGGAGTGACGGTCTGGGGGTGAGCCTGTCCTTCAATCTGCATGCCTCTACCCCCTTCTCTCCCCTGTCTTTGAGTTGAGCAGCATCAATAGCAAAGAAAGCGATTGCACTGTCATTTAGCAAGGGCTCTCAGTTCCATGCTCAGTTGGAGGCTGAAGTATTCTTGTTGGCAAAGCGGTAAGTGGCTGGCACCTCGTTCTGCCTGAATACCTGCAAGTACTGTTGTCTCCTTAGTTCCACTTTTTCTAATGGATTTTCCTGAATTCCAGGGTGACGTCAATTCCAGTAGAGTGCTCTCAGCAGGCTTTGGACTACTGAAGGAGCTTGTCTTGTGTGTTAGGTCCTTAGCTTTGTGGTCTGTATGGGTGTATTGAAGAACTTAGATTTGTGAAGGAGAGTGACAGGTTGTTTTTAGGTTCTACTGCTTTTGTGAAGTTGGTACAGTAAACTGCTCTGATGTGTTATTTTCCCACATCTCCAACATGCAGTACTCCTATCACAACTTTGGGCGGTATTACTACGAGTATGACATCCGGCAGTGTGCTGTTGCAGATCTGGGGACCATGCAGTGGCTGGCCATGCAGTGCGAGTCGGAGCTGGACTGGATATGCAAAATTCCCAAAGGTATCCCTGTCCCAGGTGCTCTTTGCTCCTTCTGCCACTTCCAACATCTTGAAATAACATTTGAGAAAAGTGAACGTGCTTTGTCACATTTATACTGTGATTGATCCATGTTATCCCTGAGGATAAGTGACCAGACACCTAATTCACTTGATTGCTCAGCCATGTGTAGGAAACAAATCAGCCATGGGGGCCTAAATTCAGATTTAATGTCTTTCCTGAAATAATTTATTACATTTTTCCGTTATAATTATTCTGTCAAACTTTTTGACATTGCATTTTTGTAATGATATAAATTAAAAAGAATAAAAACGAGGAAAGGTAACCATGGCTCTTTAATATGTGGACTATAGGTAGCATATTGCTATTAACTTTGACAGGACTGACCATTTTCCTATGTTTTTTTCTTAGTTTTCGCTATATTTGACAAAATAGCTGGAAATGTTTGATTCCTGCAGTCCTGTTGGGAAGTACATGTGCATCACTATATTAGTGTTTTCATTGAAGCATTTAAAAAAGGGGAGACATTGATATGATGGACCTAATTGTTTGACTGTGTAGCAGGTTTCTACATTACACGACATGGATTCTTGAGCACTCTGCAGAATGAATGTAGGTGTTGCAGCTGACACCTTTAATCTAAAGCTTTGAAATGATTTGAGTCATTTTCAGAGCTGTTAAACTATGCTGCGATTCTATCTTTTTGAAGGCATAACGTCAAGCTAAAATATTTACACAAAGCATTTTGTTTTTTCTGCAGGCACAGATGTTAAAGAGCCAGAGGAAAAGGAGGGTATGTTCACTTAATTCTCTTCAGGCTTGCTTTTTTGTAAATTGATCTCCTAAGCAAGTGTCCACTGTTCACTTATTGGTTTACTTTATTGACAAGGAGTTTCAAGTAATAATGCTCATTTAACAGCAGTTAAGTCCATTCTGTATCCACACCTTTCACAGATGTGAAATTAATGCTCAGTTTTTTTCTTTAGCCAGGTTGTAATTTGCTCATTTGCTCTCACAGTCCACTGGCTATTGAACAGTTTCAATGGACAGCTTTGGGAGTGTTCTAAAATCTGTTAGCTTTGCATAAAGATAAGCACGAAGAGCTGCTCTCTGGTTTATCCTACTTGGAGAATTGAAGGTATTTTTCGCCCATTATCTCCAGAAGTGGTACATGTCTTTACTTCTAGATCCTGAAGTGTAATTAAACTAACCTGCAATGGGGTCTCTTTCCTCATTCTCTGCCTCCTCAGACTCCAGCAGTAAGGAGTGGGTGTCCTTCAATGGTGCAGAGTACAAATTCTATGACCATCAGTCCACCTGGGAGCAGGCGGAGCGCATCTGCAGTTGGTTTGAGTCCTCACTGGTGTCCATCCACAGCCCCGAGGAGCAGGACTTCCTCTACCGGCAGCTGGGCAAGGTAGGGGCTGCTCCTAAATTCCTACCTGCCTTTATAAACTGGTAAATGTTTAAGTCTCTATCTCTCTGAACCCCTAATTCTCTAACTCCATCTCCCGTCATGCTAACACACCCTTCCAATTCATTTACTCCAGTGCCCTGGGCCAGTCCACAGTTGTGGACCTGAAACGCTGCGTCGTCCTACTTTCACTTTTGTGTCATGAGATTTCTGACATTTCTTTGTTGCTATGGGTTTAACATTACTTTCTAATTTGTAAGATTGTAAAATCCTTATATTTGATCTGCTTTTAAGACACGAGCACCCTCGAGACAAGAATAGCTGCGATAAAACTCTTGTTGATTCACACCCCAGAAGAATGAATGGAAGCTCAATGAGACACGATCTGAAATTGTTAAAGGGTGCAGACGTTAGTTTTTTTCACATGTATTCACACCCTTGGATGATTGTCTTGTTTGGATGCAGGTGTCCAAAGTGGAAAATCAGCAGTGGTGGATTGGGCTGCATACGAATGTCAACGATGGACGTTTCAGGTACAGTAAGCGTCTATCCTTTATGGTGAGACCCAGACAAACTTTCTTCCAGGTGTTGGGAAAAGCCTGTAGAAATTTCTCAATCCTAGTGATTAATGTGCAGTCTTGAATTCAAGGTGGGCAAAACTGTTAGGTTATTTAGAAAATAATGAGTTCAGTTGTCAGAGTTGTGGTTCAAAGTGAACTGAAGTCCATTTTTAAAGGCAAGGCCACAGCGGACACTGTATGCAAAAGCAAATTAAGCTTAAATATGTCAGTCTGTAATTGCAGGATGAAAATGTTTTTTTTACTTGCTACCATTCATATTACCCTTGCAATAAAAACAAAGAAAATAAAATATTACAGCATGCTTTCACAAAGGTTCACACTCCTTGCCTGCGTTAGATCCTCCTTAGATGGCAGTGTAGCTTGAGGGAGCTGCTCATAAAAAAAAAACTTTTTGTGTGAATTTGGCAGCTGCCCGACTAACTTTGATGTAACTAAAACTACCCAACCCAAGTCCATGTTGTCCAAGACTGGAGGGGGTCTGTCCCAGAACCTGAGTGGACAACCTCTACTTTCTGAATCTTTAAATGGTGTGCTGTGGTGGCTCTGTGGCTCAGATCTGCGCCTGTGGCTAAAAGGTTGCCGGTTTGTATCCCGCGGCCGGCAGAGGAGTCCTACTCCATTGGGCCCCTAAGCAGGGCCCTTAACCCCAACTGCTCCAGGGGTGCTGTATAAATGGTTGACCCTGCGCTCTGACCCCAAGCTTCTCTCTCCCTGTCTGTGTGACTCATGGAGAGCAAGTAGGGGTATGTGAAAAGACAAAGTCCTAATACAAGAAATTGAATATGGCCAATAAAGTGATCTTATCGTAAATAGGGTACCTTCCTTCCAAAAGGGTAAAACCACTCCCCTAATAGCATCGTGAGGAAGTTGTTTTTCCCTTTTACCAACATGTCTCTGTTCCCCCCACTGGCGGCCTGACCCAGCTTTGACACTCCAGCTCCAGTTGCTCTGCTGCATTGCTTTATAAATCAGTTGGTTTAGAATGTCCTCTCCATTGCTGGTGGTACTGGCCAAAACACTCCCAGCCCTCGGAAAAGCAAAAGGCTGAGGAAATGGTAGTAAGCTGTTTTTTTATCATAAAGCAGTGAAAGCCATTTTTCATATATATTAAAGGAGACAGCTCAAGGGGTAAGACTATCTAGAAAAAATACTTGTTTTTGTTAGAATATTCAAAAACCTGATCACAACTTAAGGTAAACTATACATAAACAGCCCAATATGAAGTGTTGTAGCAGCTAATCAACACACTTACCTATTAAACCTAATTACATTATCAGATGTTCCTATAATTATCATCTGTTAATCTCTACATATCCATAAAACAGGCTACCTTTCAGCAGTTCATCATAGTATACCTTTCTGAACAAAGACAAAATGATATTTTGCATTGTTCTGTGCTTTTCTCAGTCTATGCGTAGGAGATGTTAATTGTCAGTTTCGGCTCTTTCTGTGTCAGACGCTTGTGTTTTGCCTGAGCTTTATCGGCGCATGTGTGTTGCAGATGGTCTGACAGGTCTGTGCTCGACTATGTGGCCTGGGGCCCAGAGAGCCCCCGCCCAGTCAGCCGTGAGAAGAAGTGTGTGTCCATGAAGGCCAGCACAGGTAAGGACTGTGGAGGTGAGGAGGCATTTCGCTGAAGGGTCCTGAACTAGTGTGGAAAGCAAGATTGGTGGTTTCCAAAAACTTGGAAAAATAAATAGTTAACTCCTTACACCTGCACTCTGCATCTAACCTCAGGCCCAAGTTTAATCCCAAAAATGAGGAACAAACAGGTAAAATTTATATGGTATATGCAGTATTGCATTTAGTGCCTTCAGCTGTTACTTGAAAAAGTGTTTCCCAATTTTAAGCAAAAAATAAATCAAATTATTTATGCTTTAGGTTGTAGGAATATGTGGCTTCTGGTAATAGTTGAACAGAATTGAAAAGTCAAGCTTTGCTCTCCGGAATGCTTTTGTTCTCTTTTTGTATTATAGATGTAAATTTCTAGTTCATAAACCTCCCTTATTCAGGCTTCAAACAATGTGGTTTTAGCTTACAGTTGCAAGATCCTTTTAAACTGTGCTTCATTATGTTGACCCTTAAAGACCCCTGAATAGGCTGGTTGGTGTAGAGAGCTGCTGTGATCCCACAGAGTCTGTGTGTCCTCCTACAGACGAATGGAGTGACCAGAAGTGCTCCACTGACTTGCCCTATGTGTGTAAGAAGGCCAATAGCACCCTCCCCACGCCCTCAAAACCTGCTCCCTCCCCTGGAGGCTGTAATGAGGGATGGATCCCCTTCCTCAGCAAGGTGAGTTGCTCCCTGATCTCTGAAAGACGAATCAGCTAAAGGGACTCTGTCTTTTTGCATCCCTGTGCATTTTTAAACTGATCTTTCCCTGATAATTTATTTATACTTTCTCTGAAATGTTTGCATTTCAGAATGTATATTCTGAAACGCAGCCCTGAACTGAAGATACAGATTTGTAACTTTGGAGATAGGGTTTCTTACAAGCAGTGTGCAGCCAGGTCTCTGAATGAGATTGAAATGTAGAATAAAACGACAGCATATCATACAGTATATGGCTATGTGATTTCCTCAACAGTAGTTTGTTTGTTTGTTTGTTTGTTTTTTTCTTCATCTGGTGGGTATTATAAACTATCGGACTCTTTAAGGGTGTGTTCTACTATTAACAATGAGCACAGTATTTAAGTACTGTTCATAATGAGCATAGTCTTTAAATAACATTTCATTAGCTGCCTAGTTAAGGCCACCTGTAGTGGGGCTCTGAAGGTGAAAGCGGTGCCTCTGTTAGCATGTAGAGGGATTTTACAAACAATTTACAAAGCTCTTGAGTCTTAACTGGTCTTTGGATCTCTATTTAAATACAGTTCTTTGAAGCTGAACTGCTTACAAGCACAAAATGGGATCTCATCTCACTCCCCTATTACCTAGACACTTGTAGGAGTCACACAGGCCCCTTGCCTAACTCTGGTTTTTCTCCTGTCTCTGCAATTTCATGCCCTCTTTCCAGATAAGAAAGCCATGGCTTCTAGGTTTTATGTAGTAACCTGACCAAATGATTTAGATAAATTGATCAGGTAAAAGTAGGATTGCATAGGCTCCCACATGATCCTGTTGGTGGGTCATTCATCACAGACTATTGGTGAATTATGACTCTGATGGCATTGCCTGTCTTCTGGGTCTAGAGTTCTCCTACCGCAGCTGCCGGTTGAAATGAAGTACAAAATTACTAATGATAAAAATATTTCACATGGAGACATGCGTTTTGATATATGATGGAAGTTTTGAGGAATCTTCCCTCATGTTCCAACAGTGCTTCAAGGTGTACGGGCATCAGGAGTCGAAGAGGATCACTTGGGGAGCAGCAAAAACTGTCTGTGAGACCCAGGGTGCCAGTCTGGCCACTGTGTCCAATTACTTTGAGCAAGGTACCAACTCCACACAGGCCCACTGCTCCAGCATGCCTGTCCTTCAGCTGCAGTTCATAGCACAAAAATGGGATAATAAAGACATGTGGGTTTATGGACTGTAAATGTGGGACATTAATTCCGGTACAAATGGGGTTACAAAAAGGGAAAAAATCAGAAAATGATCAAGAGGATGGTGAAACAGAGTGCAGGGAGGTTAAAGGAAAAAGAGTGTATAAAATATACCCAAGCAGTTGATAAAATTAAAGACTCATTCTTTGTACTCCGACACAGCTTTGGTGAAAATAATAATTCAGGCACATTTGTTAATAAATATACTGTATGTTTAACCAGTGACAATACACACACTAAACTACAAGTTTACAAGTAAGGTGTCCCAGAGACCTATGTTCTAGCCACCCTCTCTCTCTTGGTTAGTGCAGATGCCACCGAATGAATGAGAACTTGTCTCCCTAGCCTAAACATGCACTCACTGACCAGGAGAGCCATTTTTACACAGGAAGTTGGCGTTCCCTAAAAACAACAGGATAGCAAGCTCTCTTAACCAGGTTCAGATACTTTGTTCCAGTCTGGTCTTTTTCTCTTTTCTCTCTGCTTCACCATTCTCTTCTATGGTGTCTTTCTGGACTGTTGATTGACACTTTATCATTTACCTGGAATTTCATTACCTGAATCTGGACACCTTACATCTTGGCCAACCACCCACCAGCCAGGTGTTACCCATTGTATCTAGATTCTTTGAGATACTTCAGTCACCTATAGCTGTAACAATTCTCTTAAGTGTTTTTTACCAGCATAATAAGCCCATTTGTAACTTCAACCATTCAGATACGAAAGCTGCAGAGCACTGATAAGGTAGTGCTCTCCAGTGGTCTCTCCCTGCGATAGGTACCTACTGAGTGTTATACTGTACTTCTAGTGGTGGAAGAATGTTACTCTTGTCCGTGTCTAGTGACAATCCTGAACGAAGGGCAATTGAATGCCAATGTATTTTGAAAGACACTGCATCAAGCCGTGCTTGAAACGTATTACATTTTCCACAGCTTTCATCACCACCCTCCTTCCTAATCTGAGCTTCGGCCTATGGATCGGCCTGTCGGATCTCACAAAGAGGTTCGGGTGGTTGGAGAAGAAACCGCTGACGTACGTCAACTGGGCCCCGGGACAGCCTGTGAAGCACCGGGACTCCCTCCAGGCTAAGACTCCGGTATGGCATATTCTGTACTCTGGATGAGGTCTTAATCTGGACTTCCAGTTATTTTTCCCCCTTCCTAAACTTGCTCATTTGTAGCAGCCAATAACCTTTAAGCTGTTCGCTACCATCGCTCTTCCTGTCCCCGCTGGGCAGCAAGCTCTCACACAGCAGGGGCGGCAGGTGCTGCTGTGCGCAGGCCGGAGGGCGGCAGGGGCGATGAATGTGCCGAACAGGGCGCGTTTGTTCACTGGCTCCTGTGCTCATGTCCAGGTGAACTGTGTGCTGGTTTTGCATGGCGTCCCTGAGAGGAATACGGGATACTGGGTGGCAAAGCGTTGCGAAGAGGAAAGACATGGATTCCTGTGCCAGAAGAGAAAAGGTGCGCAAGACTTGTTCAAAACATGGAGATGTGTGAAGTTCTCCTTCTAAACAGGGTTATTTTTCCTTCTGTGCAAATGTTTGTATGATGTCAAGACATTAAGAAAATTAACTTATTTTTCCCTTATAATTCCCTTCAAAGTTGGGGGAAAGCACTTAAAGCCAAAAAAAATGATAAATAAACTTCCAAAATGTCATTTATCTGTTTATTATTGTAAAGACCATTGTTACAAATTCTGTTAAGGCCTTTTTAATAGTAATGTTTTTTTAAACAGAGATTTAATTAATGTCACTGTAATGTTGCATCTCTAGATCCTTTGCTCCCAAGTGTGGATACCTTTCCTTCCGCTTTCTCTGGAGCCCATGAGTTCCTGAACATCTCCTATCGCATCCCGAAGAAGCCGCTGGACTGGGAGGGCGCGGTGCACCTGTGTGACGCCATGAACGCCACCCTCGCCTCTGTGCAAGACCCCTATCAGCAGGCCTACCTCACCCAGGTGCTGAGTGATCTTAATCAGCCCGCTTGGATTGGACTCTACAATACTGGGGTAAGATCGCCAAAGAGATCGGGAAGCATCTGTGCCATAGTCTGCCATACACACCGAGCCTGACGACTGGAACCTAACATAACCTTGCTTGATTTGCTTTCTTCTTTATCTGTTAGGTGTAAAGCACATTTGGATTATTTAGTTTATAACTACATGTTTTGCACTTTATACATGACGCTTTAATACAGATAACCTAGAAATAACACAAGAAAAGTAGTCTTTGCTTTGTGCTCTGTGCAGGGCTGGACATGAAAGGTTTGTTTTTATACTTGAGTGTTGGAAGTACTTTTACCAGAACTAGATGATTCCACAATGTTTTGACATTGCTCTGCTGTCCCTGTACATGTGATACCAAACTAGCAAGCCTTTTCTTAAGTTGTCTGTGCATTTCAGCCTGAAAAGCAAAACGGTTACACATAGGATTTTAAAAATCGCCCATTTGGGATGGTTCTGGTGTGGACACTCCACTTTCACTTTTGTGAAACCCATTGTATGTAGAAACGGTTTAGGTTTAAGGAATACACTGGGGATGTGTTCTTGAAAAATCCACACAGTTTAGGAATCAACGGATAACAAATCCATAAACCTTCTACACAGTTGTAAATACACACACCTGTTGCTTCCTGCAAGATTATTAAAGGCATTGCACTTCAGCTTCCACATACAGTATGCTTATGCACCGTAACTTGCATATTGATTAATATAGTACAATAATGTACATAGTGTAGTGTAAAAATCTGTTTACAATGCAATATATAGTTCCATTGTTTTTCTCTGTGCCACATGCTACCTTATGACTTGATCATTGGTGTGAAGCTTTTATGAAGCATCAGCAACAAATACTGAATCATGTACAACAAAATTGTGATTGTGAATGAGTGGATAAAGAATCAACGTCTGGCAGATATTGCTGTACCAGATGTTCCTTAAATCTTCTTCAGGGGCGAAGCTACCAGTGGTTGGGTGTGGATCAGGTGACTTACACTGACTGGGGTGAAGGGGAGCCCAAGAAGACCATTGGCTGTGTGTCCATGGGCGCACAGGGTAAATGGACTGTGAACAGTTGTGAAGCACAACTCAAGGCTGCCATCTGCCAGATAAATACAGGTACTGCACCATGGACTGTTAACAGTTCATTAAATCTGGTAAAAACAGAAGAAATGTTTTAATCAGAAAATAGATTCTCATTAGGTGTGATTAACATGAGGTCCTTTCAAATTAAAAAGTAAACAAGATTTTTTTTTATAAAAGAGAGTTCAGTGGATATCTGTTCTCACTTCAAGGAAAAAAGAAAACCTTTAAATATCCTATTTTCTTTACAAAAAGACCAAACAGACTTCACTGTGTCTTTTCCACATATGGTCCTTAAAAAGCTGTGCACTCAGTGTAACAATCTGGTTAAAGCATCACAGTAACATTTCTATGCTGTGTATTGGGCTGGTCTGCATGTTACAGTGCTTGTTTCTTAGGCATGTTGTGCTCTCTTCCCACAGAGCCAGCACAGGAACACCAGTGGAGTTACTCTGGACACTGTCCACATTCTCTGGATGACTCCTCCTGGATCCCATTCCGGAATCACTGCTACTCTTTCCACCTGGAAAAACTATTTCCACATAGAGATGCTGCCCAGAAATGCCGCAAAGGTAGGACTGGCAGCCAGCTAACACTTTCACATGCTAGGCAATGGAGTTTGTAACCTTAGCCTTGCTCTCCATTAGACCATAAGAGTGCCCCCTGGGGGTAAGGTTGTCTAAACATCTGGTGCATATCTGCTGGATTTTGGTGGCCAAAATAAGAGATGAGCTTTCTCCATTTGTGTTCTTATTACAGGCTTTATATAGGCCATTGTTTAACTGTTGCAGATATTTGAATGCTCTGACGAACACATTTCCTGGAACACCATTTAGGACAATATGTACACAGCTTCCTTTGAACTCTTTCAAGAGCACTTGACTTCTCTTGTTGCCATATGAAGCACAGCCCCAATTCCTTGTGAATGTTCTCTACAGGGGACACAATGGACACATTTTGTTCAGAACAGTGGCAAAGGAGCGTCCAAAATCAAAGCTTGTACAAGGAAACCAGTTAATCTCCCCCAGTAATCTAGACTCCAACACTGGCTACAGAAATGCATCTGGCTGGCTGGTCTCACTGCTGCTGTGCTGGACTGTGGAGGCTTGGATTGCTGCTGCAGTCTAATTCCAGTTGCGTAGTGCTTCCAAGCAGCTGCCGGACATAATTTTAGTGCTGCTTTGCTATTGAACCTCAGAGAGGGGTACCAGGGGGTGGGGGTTTGAATGCAGGAGGAAGTAGATGAAAAATTAGAAAGTATACAAGAGAAATGTAATAAATTTATTTAATCAAAATCTTGTTTCATTAATGACCGGGGGCTATAAGGAGCTTCATTTGCCTTTATATTGATCACTTTTCACCTTTTTTTTTCTTTCCTGTCTCTGCCGTGTTGCATCCTTCTTTGCTCAACCGTGCGGTGGCCCAGTGGGAGCGCAAATGCTGTCCATCATGGACCAGACGGAGAACAGCTTTGTGTGGGAACACATTCAGGCCTACGAGGACCAGGCCAATGGGGCATGGCTTGGTATCACCTTTAGCCAAAAAGGTCAGAGGTCACAACCCTGCCAGTATGATGGGACGGAAACAGATGGTGCACTGTGTGCCCTGCATTCTTATTCTATTATAGTCGGGTCAGAGGTCGCTTAAGGTCAGGCTGGCTCTTATCCTTGGGAGATGAGCTCCCCATAGTCATAGCTAAATGTCTATGCTATATGTCCTATATGTCCCCGTAGCTGTCCTGATGCTGTTGGCTATGGGCTGGGTGTTCCTGACTTACTCTGGAGCTCCAGTTTGCACACGAAGTAGAGTAGTTATTGCCATATGTACATTGGAATTTTTATGAACATGATCTCCTCTGTTCTGGAATTGTATTTGCAAGATACAAAGTAATAAAACTTGCAAGAATATTATCCTGCAGTATGATTAAAGACTGTTAGAGCACTAAAGAAAAATGGAAGTTTACAGAGCTGCATTTCAGAACTGTATAGATGGTGTAAGATGAATCTAAGTTGGACAGTTTTGGATGGTGCTCTAAAGACATTAAAAAACTTGTAAAGTTTCTTTAAAACTTTGGAATAAGACTCCATTAGTGAATTCAATAAGTTCTTCAAGTGGACATTTTGAAAACTGGGCGATTTACTTTGGGGGTGAGGTATTTGAGGATGGCTGTTCAGAGCTGTACTTCTGGGTCTGTGTGTGTCCCAGGGGGCAGCCTGGTCTGGCCAGAGAGCTCTGCGGTGGAGTTCACCAACTGGGAGGTGCAGGACGCAAACCTCAGCATGCTGAGCCCCAACACCTGCTTCTGGATCCAGAGCAACACCGGCGTCTGGAAGCTGGGCTCCTGCAAGAACAAGAGTCACGGCGTCGTCTGCAAGAGGCCTCGGGGTGAGGCTGGAGCGCTGTGCTGCTCCTGGGGAAGACAGATGGAAACAGCCTGTGCTAAAGAGTCGATTACAAAGGGAGCCTGAGCATTAGGGATCGCTTCTCCAACCAAATAGGTTCTACAGAAGGCAAAGCATGATAGACAGTATTTCTGCTTCTCCCTGAAGGGTCTGGCAAAAGCCAATAGGCTTTAATGGAGGAGGAGTGTCTGGGTCAGGGGTTTTCTGTCTTGGCACTGTGAAGTTGGCCTCCTTACAAATGGTACAAATAAATTCCAAGTGTATTTGATCCTGCTGCAGTCACCATGCTGGAGCTGGGGTGGGGGAGGGACAACATTACTGGCTGAGTAATGTCACTTGCCAGAAAAATAAATCCCTAGTATCTCAGAATCCAAAGCAGTACAAATGCAACATAACAGAGGAGACCAGTTTGGTTCTCCTGTGACATTGCTGAGGGTCAGAGTGATGTCGTTCTCTGGAAAAAAATGTAACTGCTTATGTTGCTTTGGGTTTTGAGTCATACACCTATTTTCACTCCACAAACATGACTGGGAGGCATTACATGGGCGTTTATAAGGGTGTGACTTCACTGCGTTTTCAGGTTCTTGAGAGCTATAATCCTGCAGTTTGTGCACTGTAGAGGTCTTTGACCAGCAGTGGGAGGCCTATTAACAGCTGACTTGGAAAGCGCTGTAAGCAAGACCCTGTGTTCAGGAAAAGGTAATACGTGACCAATATGGGGGAGGCATTGGGTTAAAAGCTCTGATGGTTTGCATTGTTGAGGTTCAGAAAATGTTAATGAAAGTAACAAAAGTGTCTCATTTCAATGAAAGAGGCAAAAGTCTATCATTGGATGCAGTAGCTTTGCTAATCTCTTTATCCCATTAAGGTTTGAGAGTTATACATATATTACAGGTCTATTACTAAGTCAGTAAATCCTAGGGAAATCGGGTCATGCTCTTCCCACACTTTTCCAGAGCCCCAAGGACCTCTGTTAAAATTATGCTCAAGCTAAATGGAGTATCAATCCTAGCTTTTGTGCTCTGGAAATTGAATAAAAAAATTATCTCCTCTCCCTTTTCTTTCTACAGATGCTGAGTCAAGCCACGTATCTGGTAAGTATGAGGATTATTTGCTCCATTTCCCCACACTTTGGTGATGGACTTTGCATTCAAGTACAGCACAGCTCTTACAACCTTGAACGTCTGCACAATTAAGATGTCAGTACAGTATATGGGATTCTGAACATCACAAGCTTATCAGTTTTGGGTGAGGGAGTAAAAAAATGTAAAATGCCAGAAATATACAGGGTGCACAAGGAGCAGTAACATATGGCATACAATACATGCCAACAGGTAGCACTTCATCAAAGATGATGACATTACGCATCAGAGAGCAAAATCACATCTCGGGGAACCCCTTTCTTCATTCTATAAAGGATCACGTTCAAAGTACTAAGTTCAAAGTTCAAAGTTGTTCAAGTTTAACCACAGAGTGCTTATTCAATTGCTGTGAAGTATGTGGGACAAAGAGATTTGCCGAATTAATTAAATTAATCATTGCAATATTTTCCTCTGCAGCAGAGCAGGACCACATGCCCACCTTCGTCATCGTCATCGTGACGGCTGTGGCCCTGTGCCTCTTCATCGTGGCGGCCATCTACCTGTACAGGCGCAGGAGTGGGGCGGGCCGAGGCGCCTTCGAGGGGGCACGCTACAGCCGCACCAACTCCGCCCCTGCCGAGGCGGCCGAGAAGAACATCCTTGTGTCCGACATGGAGATGAACGAGCAGCCAGAGTAAGGTAGCAGCTGGGACCCAGCCAGTGTGACAGCTTCTAAAGTTGCCTAAAGGGCTGTGTTGAGCACAGCAACTTCACAAACTCACCCACAGCCGGCACATGGACGAGAACCAGCCCCTGCGCTGAGCAGGGGGAACGGCCCTTTCAGACACTCCCCCAGCACGGGCAAGAGCAGCTCCAGAATTCTCTCGCTTTCTGCTCTAAACATAATGTGTTATTTCAGGTTGTGTACTGAAGTGTTTTTTAAAGTTTGATGGCAAGTATAACACGTGATGTATATATTGTTATACTTGCTTATAACTTTTTAAAAAAATTCTAATTTGTTATGTTTAAACATGCATTCTACATTAGAGGGTATTTTTTCTGTTATTTCGCTTTGCTTTTGCTTTCCTTTTTAGTAGCAGCTTTGTTATGGCTTTGGTGAATTTCGATACTGTTGCCTGTTCCTAATCTGGATTGACTGGTTACATAAATAGCCCACATTTTAATGCTCAGTTTTATTGTGTAGTATGTGCTGTGCACCCATTGCCTCTGTGACTGGAAAGGAAGTATGGGTTCTCGGCTGTACAGCACCTGCTGGAGGTAAAACTGTGCTCAGAGGCTGAGGTACAAGCCCAACATTCATGCAGGCCTTTGGTGGAAAGTTTGTCCTGTGATTCCAGAGGACCACCAAGCCTGTGGAGTGTTAGAGGTCTTCTACCGTGTGACATTAACCCTCTTGTATTTTTTGTGCTCTGGGGGCAGTTTGTGCTAGTACAAGGTGCTGTAGGGATTACGGATGTTATTGGGAATACCATGCCTGTCAGAATGCCATCTGAAACATCAAATCCCGTCATGTTATCTTTACGGTCAAGGCTGCACAAAGACTTGAGCTTGTATTCTACATTTTCATGATATACCTTTGCAGCTTCTCACTCAGATAATTAATAACTTTTTTCACAGCAATCCATTTGTGAGATTAGCATATAATTTCAGATATCTGTCACTCTCCTTTGATCCTGATGGGGGAAACATAAGAATTAAATTCCATATTTGTCATAGAAGTGTTGAATCTGTAAAAAAGACCAGCTATTTTAGTTTTGCTTGTTCTTACAAATAATCAGATCAAGACATTAACACTCTGTGTTTGATCATACTCGCAACAAATTCAATATAAATTATTAAAGGTTGGGGAACTGGCAGTACTACAAGTAGAGGGCTATGTTATGGATTTTAATTTTAATTGGCTTTACAGTACTGTGAAAATAATTCAATGAAACTGTGTGGGTAGGAGGCAAACTCTGATATGTAATGAAAAAAGATCAGGAGCATAAAATTACCAGACAGATGTAAAATACTGAACTTATTCAGCACACACAGAAGCTGGCTTCCAGTGTACCTTGAGGAAAAGTTTAATACAGTTGAAAACGATAGCCGAGCTTTGTGCTTGTTCCCTGTGATGGAGAACCTGTTGGAATACTTCAGGGTCTAGTCTGACGTTATGAGGAGGTATACATTTTTCATGAAGCGGCTATTAGCTAAAGCAGCTACTCCTGATGAAGAATTACTTCCTTGAAAATAAAACGTCTTGATTTGCCTGGATTTCCTGATGTGTTGGGTGCGTTGTGGAAATTCTTCCAGTTAAGGTCCATTTGACTCAGTAGTCCAGGGCTGGTTAGCTCTTTCAAGCTTGAAAGGATATCTCTCTGGATTAATCTCATGAATAACTATAGTGCAGAAAGGAAAAGTGAATTGGAAATAACTTGAGTGCTTTTTACCTGGTCTGGACTACTGAATAAATGATTTCTTGGAGTACGTAAAAGGGTACACATTTCTAACAAATAAATCATTTAAATATGAAACAACAAGAACCGAGATCTGAGCTATGATTTTGCCTCTGCATGCCAAGTATTATACATTTTATATGCACAGGATTTTTGCAAGGATTTTCCATTATGCATTGCTTTTTTAAAACAATTTGAGTGGTGTATTTCCTATTGACAGTGTAGATGGCATGAAGGATTCTTACTGGCAGTCGGTGTGTATCTGAGCAGGACAGTAGCACATTCTTGATCATCTTGTCAACTGGGGCAGTTTCCAAAATGCAACAAAAAAGTGAGACATACTTGAAATACTTTGTTTGAATATTGTTAAGCCTTGAGAGGACTAGATGTTCTTGTTTTATTGTGCTAAATGAAATCATTTAAGCTTTCTGGGAGGGATTGTATTACTGATTAAACAGATTAATCTCCCTAATCTTCTGTTTCTTGTAGCAGCTGTTTTAAGGGTGTGCAGTGAGCAATGTGTTGTTTTCAGTGGAAGGGATGACCACTGATATTATTGGTTTATTGGTAACATTCTTAAAATGAGTTTTTGAGACTATTTTAGAAAGGATGTTCTGATTAGAATCAGAATTCCACTTTTCTATGCAACAGCTGAACTTGGTACAAGTAAAGGTCAAGTTCACAATTTAAAGTAGGAATTTAAAATGCAATGTCTCGGCTCTTTACTTTTTCCTTTGCACTCAACGCATGCTGACATATAGCAGAACCTTCTCGTAATTGTAGTTCAATGTGACATTTCTCTTATTACCCAGCTAAATGTTTACTCACTATACTTATTGAATCCCATTAACCTGTAGAAAAATTACCGGCATATCACAATGCTTGCTTTTTGTATGATAAAATTGCCGTTTAATTTGTAATCAAGAGTAACTCTAGAAACATCTCCACGTAAAACATCCCCTGGAAACATGCCTAGGTTGCAACTCTGTGGCTAGTACACTCACTCACACAGACAAAGCCTAATGTAAAATGCCAGTCTTTAATCTGCAATGTAATGGATTGTTTTTTTGGGGAGCACTTTTGAAGCATTAAAAGAGAAGTTTAGGAGTGTGATGTGGTTCAACACTGGACGTTGGTCACATGGCCCCTGCAGTTCCTCTGGGCTCCCGGGAAAGAATTATCATTTTAAAATTGACTATAAATGCAGTTTATTAAAAGACAGTGGTATGAATCAAAAGGCCCATTTTCTGAAAGCTTGGAAGGTTTTTAAGAGACCTTTTAAATGTCAGACAGACAGAGTCTCTACAGGGCTTTGGTGTTGTTGTGTGGTTGTATTGCATCTGAAAATACAGTGTAGAGCTTTTCAGGATTCCTTTCCTTTAAACATGTTTAGGAGTGTGAAAGATGGACTTTGTTGAAGCAGTGACAGCTATAGTTCCCCAAAAAGAAATGAACTTACTGCTGGAGTATTGTCAGTTGGGAATAAAGACACTACGTTCAGATAACTAAAGCTTGAAACACTGAAGTGGATCCTGCTCTGGTGTGAGAAATAGTTTGAATGTGTCCAGCTCGTTAGTAACTGAACATGGACCAAAGAGATTTGCGTGAGATTCTTCTCTTTAATCACTAGTTCCTCTGATTTTTCGGTTTAGACTTTTAAATGGAGGCCGAAAAAGGTTTTGATACTGTCTTTATTTTTTGTTATATTAAAGAAACTGGAAAAGGGCCCACAGAATAGAAGGTGGCCGTTGTCTTGATTTATTTTGCTAAAGTATTTCCGTTGCTCAGAATGATTATAGTAATTTTATACAAATATGCTACAAGTTTAAGGGCACATCTCATGATAAAAGAAAAATTAGACTCAGTCAAGGTGAGACGAGAATATCTGGTAACTGTTTCTCTGGAAGGGAAGATGTAATTTCTGTGATTGCTCTTGTGGATGTGTTCACAGTGGTTTGTGAGGTTGTGATTGTTGGAAGACTTAACTTTACTGCGCAGGATCTATTCCCTAGGGACATCCAACTGTTTAGAATAAGAACTGGACTGAAAGAAATTTGCAGCGAAGATTGCAGTTTTCTTTTCTGCTCAAGAACAGTGCTGTACAGCCCTGACTGGTACTCTGCATTACTCCAAGGTTACTCGTTCAGGGGCAGTACTGGACTGTTTCCAGCTCATCCCTGCACTTCAGTCTGGGACTGTAATGCAGGGTGCTTTTTTGTACATTTTGTGTCTCTGTAAAGTCAATTTACTGATAAACAATTACCTTTTTTTAAATAAATGATTAAAATATATTCGCTTTATTAAAAATATTTGCACTCGTTTTTGTTTCTCTGGACACATGGGATCAGCAGTGTTTACAAATGCTTTTTTATGTTTCGTTGAGCTTCAAGGTGGACCTTTTGTCAATTAATCTAAGTACTGTTTAAAGTTTCAGAGATTTCAGACTTCTCTGGAAATCCAAGTATCCCTGGCAAATGGCAAATATTGAGCGTGCATTACAGGAAAACACATGTGTACACCAAGACATGTAGCGCTAAGCTAGTTGATATTTTTTCCTATTCTGTAGCATGTTTAATCAAACCAAAGGAGCAGCTTGTAAGCCAATCTTGGTAGAGATTACAAGGTCTGTGGCCTGGGTTTTCAAATTTCTTTCACTCTAAAACAGCTGTTTATCTTTGCAAAAAACAGCAAATTAAAACTATTGCTAGGGATTTCTGTCCTGACCGCCCCCCAGTTATCATCAATGTGAAGACTTTTGTGATCCTAACACTTTTTTTACAATGAAATTGTAACTGCTTACTATGATCCAAAAACTGGCCTTTGAAAATCATAATTCTGAAGAATTTACCTCCATGCCCAAATTGTTTTTTAGGTCAGGGTTAAGTGAGGTTCACTTACATCCCATACAACCTATATCATTTTGAGGAAAGGACAATTTGTAAACCTGTTTTTTTAACTTTCTTATAACAGAAGAAGCCAAGTGGTGTTTTTTTACCAAGATACTTCTCTACAAGTGCAAGGTTTGCTAAAAATATTGTAGGAACACCACCTTGTTTCAAAGCTTTCAAAAATTCATTGTAATTACCCTCTTACTATGTAGTTTCCATAAAAAAGGTGCTGTATACCTTAAGGCACACTTAGAACAGTAATTGAAAAGGAAAAGTGAAATTCTAAGAACATAAAAGTGACAAAATGATAGGTCATTATTATTTCCCAACTCACTCAGTGATTCCATCATTGCATCAACATCAGAGTACCGTGGTCATCCATGCCACACAATGATACGGCATGTATTCTAGTATTGGAACAAAATCAGGCTAAAACATTTACACTCAGGTGGAGTAAATCTGTAGTTCAGAGAAGTAGAGCTGATGAAGAACAGAAGAGCAAAACCTTTAGAGTGATTGTGTTTGCACAAAACTGGTTCCTGGTGCTATTCACAGAGGTCTGTCCAGGAATGGCAGCCACAGGCTTTATGGGCATCACTGCCACTGAAAATACCTGCAGGGAAATTTACCTATTCAGTAACACAAGTAAAATCCCCATAGCCTTCCAGTACATGAAATATAATTTATTAAGGTTGAAGTATTAATGGTTTTCTTTTCTGGATTCCTTTTTATTATGTAAAGGGATGGATCAATCTTTAATTTATTAAAATCATTTCAGCTGAATGAACACAGATGTAAATGATCGCTCCCCATACCGTTTTAAATTCTCAGTAGTTTCCTGAAGGGATAGGGTCATATTTCACTAATACAACCCCTATACAGTGTAACCCCTATCCAGTCTCATATACAGACCAGATTTGTAGAGAATAAATTCCATTAGAATGTCATTTTCTACAATGGGTAAGATATGTCAATCGATATCCCAGAACTTGAAACGTATTAGATTGAATTAAATTCATTCCTGTTCATTTCCTGCTGTGGATGGGTTTCCCTGCTCTAGTCAATGCAGGTTAGAGCTCACTCCGGGCAGCAGCAGCAGGCTGTTGTACAGATGTGCACCTCTTACGGATTGCTAGCAGCTCGGAAAACATGTTTTATGGCAGATTTTATAACTGAGTAAAAATAAAAGTTCAAACTTCTGGATAAGGAGTAAACAAGTTCCATGAACTGTATGTAGTTGTCAAGATACAAAATCCTTTTGCAGCAATATTGGCAGCAATGTGGCATGTGAGTCCAAGGATGGAGTAATGCGTCACTTGTTATAGAACTGAGAGGACACCCAGGCAAGTCCCCACTTCAGGTTGGTAAGCATGAACTTGAGGGCTTTGGTCCACTGCTCCTCTGAGTTGAACTGGGTTTTGATGGAATAGGAGCCTCCACTCCCTCCGGTATCTTCAATTTTTCCCTTTTCCACATCCATCCTGTGGCAGGAAGAAGACAGTTTTACTTCACATTGATGTGACCCCTTCCAAAGGTTTACAGCTCAAATGGGTCAGGCAGACATGGGCTGGCAGGGCCAACGTAATTCTATTGACTCTAGTTTTGTTCTTGTGAAGCTGTGTCACACTTCTTCATGCATTTGCAGGTATGATTGTAAAACCTGACCTTGTGTCAAGTGCCAAAGCTCTGCAAGATATACTTCTTACATTAACCATAATCCTTATTTTTGCTCTAATCCTCAATCTTATCGTAACCCTAACATGTGGAACTGCACAAGGTATTAAATCAGAATTCATCATGAAGTTGCAGCCATTATTTTGTCATGTATCTGGATAAAAAAAAAGACAAACTGTCTTCAATCAGAATTTGTCACAAAATGACATGAACTGCAGTTCTTAGGGGCTAACAGGACAGGCCTTGCTCCTCAATCAACTAGGCTACTTGCCTGTAGGGCAGACAGAAACCTGTGTCCCCTTTCTCCACTTCTTCCTTAAACTGCTGCACGCAGTCCAGGAAGGCCACCATGGCGTGGTCAAACTTGTTGTCCCAGAAAAAGCGCAGGCCTCCAGAGCAGTAGAGTGGCAGCTCCTGCAGCCCCAGGGAGAGGAAAGACTCATTCAGGTGCTGCTGAAAGGCCACAAGTCACTAAAGACACAGCACCGGCTTCAGGTCAAACGTCAGAATACAGAATTGTTATTGTTATTGTTTTTTCAACAATAACAAGAAGAGGTTATTCTCAAACTCTTTGTAGTTACATTTCTGTGAGTCATGTAGGCATGACTGTTCATTCAGATCAAGGATAGCAAAACCCACAGACTGGCAGTTGGTCTCTGCAAACTCCTCCAGGCAAACTAATGAAGTAATAAAGGTCTTTGTAATAATGTAAAACAGAATCTGCTGTTTGCTTCTTTTCTGACCACTGAGAAAGCTGCTTTTTTATTTTGTAAAACACTTGACCAATTTTCAACAACAAGGGCAAGACCATATACTGCATCCTGAAATCAATCAAAGGCTGTAAACACAAGACAGATCCATTACCTTAGACTTATCCGAGAGTGACTCCAAATATGAGTGATTGCCATACGGGACCAGACGATATCTGTGGAAAGAAATTGTACTTATAACTTGCCACGGAGTTAAGAGATTTCAAATATTTCTTAAGGTATGCATCCTTTCAGGACAACTACTACTACCTTCAGTAAATGGAATTTCTTGTTAATACATATGGGGAGATGCACCATATCTGAATTAGAAATAAAAATGAAGTAAAACAGTTTTTGTATGACAGGCTCCTGATTTCACACAGCACCCAGCAAGTGACTGCACAGGGATCCCCACCTCTGGAAGCGCAGGCCCATCTTGTTGGCCAGGGCGTGAAGAAGCAGAACGGTCTGTCCCCAGGCTGCATTGATCTCATTCCACTCGACGGGAACGCTGGGCAGCCGACCCAGACGGAAGTTATTGATTGTCCCGAACTGGCCACTGTGCCTGCAGGCAGGAAGGGAGAGACAATGACGAGGGAAAATAATACTACTGTGTGCCAAATTACAGCACTGAGCTGGGGCCTCTTATATAGGTGACAGAGTCTATTCAATTAAAAATGGCGTTGGCACTCCAATCTGAGTTTCAGGAAAACAAAGGAATTCAGCGTTCTTGAAGAGGTGCCAGCCCAATAACCATTTCATGTTTCAGGAAAGACCTATATTATTATAAGAATCAACTGTACATAGCAACTTTCATTTTACATTATATGTAAATTACACTGTAAAATAAAATGAAAGATCTAGGTATACAGAAATTAAAACAGTAAATTAAACAATTAAGAGCTAAAGTACAAAGGTGAGTTTTAAGATAGGATTTGACAGTGCTAAATAGCAAGATCTGATATGGGATGGGAAGATCCAGTTCCCAGTCTCAGATCAACAGAACAGGAAGTGCAGTCTTACCAGATGTGGAAGGTGGCATTGAAGACGTTGGTTTTCTTTAGCTTGTCCAGCTGGATCTGGGCGTAGCGCATCTGGTTGTCCACACTCTTCAGCTCATCATCCAGCTCCAGCTGCTGCCTCTTGAACTCGCTGTACTCCTTCTGGTATCTGCAGGGGCAGCAGTGTGCTTACGCAGTCTCATGTCAGTGCAGCAGTACAGTATCTTAATAATGCTTATTCAAAATAATATTTGTTCAACCCACTGGGAAAAGACCCCAGGGCAGACCTAGGACATGCTGGAGGGATTATACCCCTTTCTCCAGAAGCAGCTGGAGACTGCTGCTGGGGAAGGGAAGTCTGGTCTGCTCTGCTCAGCCTGTTACCACTGTGACCCTCACCAGGAGTAAGTGGCTTTTGAAAATGATGATGACAATCAAGCTTCATACTGAGAAACAGGAAATTGTTCCCTATGTGTTGTTAAAGCATAAAGGTTTTGGAGAACTTCAGCACATATCATCATCTAAAAAAGGCAAAGTAGTAAGAAGAGCCCGACCAGCCCTGAACAGCATGCGTTTTGAGCAGAAGCAGCTGCAGAAGTTTCTGGTGCCCCTGTGTGCATCAGGCTGCTTACTCACTGCTGCTCCTCTCGCTCCAGCTCCTCTGTGTGGGCTCGTCCCCGGGCAAGCTCTTCCGCCACAGTCTTGCGCTGGCCCTCGATAGCCTCCAGCTCCTGGATCAGCTGCTCCTCCTCGGCGCTCAGCTTCCTCAGCTCTGCCAACAGGGAGCCCTCCTCTTCCTCCCTCATCTGAGACAGCAGCTCCAGGCAGTTCCTGATGGGACACAGGCTTCAGCTGAGAATCCACAACCATCTTAAATAACAAATGCACTTTGGGGTTGAAGGCCTCCTCCCCCAGAGCAAAGGGGTTCCTCTTCTTTTGTTTAGAATTTTTTCAGCCAAACTGTTAAAAATTGGCAGGAGTTCATCTGGAGTATGGTACCAGTGCAAAAATCATTTGCATGAAATAAGAAGAGGTTACAAAGGAAAGAAGATGATTTGGCTCATCTCGTTCATTTGGTTTTTTAAGAGCTAACTGATCCTATGATTTTAAATTTCAAAGTGATCTATTACAGGCCAGGCTTCAACAACATGGCTTGTTGTAGACTCTCACAACCTTTTGTGTAAAGAAATGTTTCATGTTCTTAGCTAAATACACATATCCATATTTATTATTATATTAATATTAATAATAATAATTATTAATTATTATTAATAATTTAATATTTATTAAATTATTATTTGCCAGTCGATGGGTATTTCTGCTGTGTTGAGTATGAAGAGCTTTGCTAACTACCTCAAACAGCATTTGCAGTTTCCTTAAATTAAACTGGAAAAAATACCTCAGGGTTGGGAGATTTCTTTTCATGAGCTGTTAACAACCATCTTCTATCTTTCTTCTTACAAAGAAATCTGGATTTATGAGTAGTGATTTGCACGAGAGTGATCGTTTTACTTTACTCTGGGTCTTCTTTTGCTAGGCCAGCTCCGAAGATTAGGCCAAAAACATGCCAGATCCCCACTGGCTCTGCATCAGGAACAGAGCACTCACTTGTAATTCTGGCACTCATTCTCAGTGATGTTGAGCTGGGAGTCCAGGTGGTCTAGCAGTGTGTCAGTACACTCCTCACACAAGGGGTGGTCCACATCTGTCTGGCCAGACATAATGTCAAACAGATCACTGGTCACCTGAGAGCAGCAGGGAAAGAAGCAGAGAACAAGCATAGCTTACATACCTCTCTCTGCAGACAGGTGCAGAGTGATGCTTCTGAACTGAGGACTAAGATCCCACCACAGATGTATATCTTGCTAAAAACACATTTATACAAACAGAGGATTAAACTTTTCCATAATTTAGCCAGTTTTTTTCCTACTGGTGATCAGAGAGAAGTAAAAATATTTTATATAAATTTAACTGTAACAGCATACTCCAGTGTTTACTGACAGCACAGGGAAAATTTTTATGTCTACTGACTCAAAGTTCATGGAAAACTGACTTACACAAAGAAATCTTGTTCTTGAATTGTGGGAGGAATGGAGCCTAGAGTTGGTATATGAAATAAACTAGCCATTTTGTTAAATGGACAGTTTTGAGAACTGTCAAGAAAGAGCCAGAACAGATTCCAGGATCTAATATGTAAGAATAAACAATTGAGCTGAGCAACTTTCTCCCCTCTCACCTTTGACCTTTCTTATGGTCTGAACTGTTACCTTCAATCGCCGGCTCAGGTTTTCCATGGTGCCACCATCAGAAGCCTCCCCAATCAGAGTGAAGCTGTTGGCACTCTCTGTAGACAGCATTCTGGACCACAGGAAAGACAGTCACATATTCACCAAAGTACCACAGCACTCTCCCAATTTTAAACCATGGATTTCTCTGGATCCTTCAATGAACCAGTTTCTGGATGAACTAGATGCAAGAATGAGAAAGACAGGCTGAATGGCCGTTTCCTTTCTACTGTATGCTCTTATTTGACTAAATGTGGGACAAAGACAGACTACACAATGTAAACCATTTGTGCACTCAGGATACAAAAAGATCATTTTTAGTAGGATTCGAAAAACTTTGAGCCTTTTCCTTTGCAGTGAACATCCAACATCATTAATCTAAATGGAAAGATGGTCTAGAGTGCAGCTGACAGCAGAATGAAGGCACACGCAGTATAAAGGTGGGCTAGCTCACCGAGCAGGAGGGATGTACTTCCTGGATACTCCATCTTGCTTGTTTTCCACAAATGTCTCCTGAAAACAAGCACAGAGTCTGCTGCATATTCATCGTGAATTACAAAGTGAAAAGACAAAACACTTTTCAAAGAGAACCATTAAGTAAACGGTGTATATATATATATCATGTTAAAAACTGAACACCAGATCTAACTAGTTATGCAAAAAATGACTGGGGGCTGAAAGCTTGGTGCAGAAAACGGGTTCGGGACTACTGGACTCAGGGGATCTGCTGGGACAAGAGGAGCCAACAGACAGGCAGAGAGGCAGCAAAGCATCAGGAAGCGCAGTGGAGAAGAGGAGTATTTACATGAGGAACAGGGGGCAACAGGCCAACCCTGGTGGGATCAGGAAAAGCCAGCAGAGCAGTATCAACAAACTTAAAACCAGTAATACAATACTACTGAAGTTCAATGCTTGGAGAAGAAGAATTAAACCCAAGGCTACTGCATTAACAAGGAACTATGACATCATTGGAATAGTCAAAACACAGCTAAGGAAGGATGAATATCAAATTAATGGCAACACATTGTTTCCAAAAGGCAGGCTGGACAGAAGCCTGGGATTTGGGTGATATATATATATAAAATTAACTAGTTAATTAACAAACTTAGCCGACAAACACAAAACACAAATTCTAAGGGCCTAACAGGTGAATGTCACAGATTTTAATAGACTGGGAAAGAGTACATAAGAGCAAAAGTGGCTGTTTGCTCTGAGACTCAGCCAAGGAAAGTCCTTGAAAAAATTTGCCTAAAATCACATTCAATCACAGAACCTTTTGAACTATGACACACTGTAAACTGTTGCAGGGACCGACCGAAAACATGCATACACTCTTCCATGCAGGTATGGCACAGCACCCATTCAGCTAATATTTATTTTTTACATCTCTGGCTAGAAATATTAATGCCAAACCTGTTCTCCAAATATTCAATGGCTTTTCTTTAAAAAAAAGCAGCACAAACAGTAGCTTCTCGGCTACTTAACTAAAAATCACTCACAATAATCTGACCAAACACTTCTCGTTTGCTTCCATTCTTATATCTTTTAAACAATGCTAAACCCACCTTTGGTACATTGTCATCCCCGTTGCTTTCATCAGGTTTTATATGGGTTACAGTGACTAATGGAGCTGGAAACAACAAGCAAAACATCAGCTTAATTTCTGAACAAACACTGTATTTTACTTCTGCACAGAGCACAGAGCTGAAGTTGTTATAGTTAGTCTTTTCTCAACCACTTTCTAGTATCTAAGAGGCTAGCAACCTCTTTGTGCTCTCTCCTTTCAATGAGAGGTGAAGCGCAGGTTGTTTTGTAATGGTTGTGACTCAGCAGCATGTAGTATCATTCACCTCCAGTTCATGTTAGTTTGAATAAAAGCATTTGCTGCTTAATATCAATAAATACATGGATTATTGTGTTTGTCTCCTCCAACATGAGTCACAGAATAAAATCAATGAAAATTAACATTTTCAAAGAAAATAATCCTTTAAAGATGGGAATATCATAGACACTTCTTTTTATGTCATAAATCATTTAGTACAAACAGCCTCTGACCATCAGTAAGGTTACCTATGAGCTCCTGGATGGTGACTTTGTCCAGCACGTTGAAGGAAGTGTCCAGTTTCAGAGGCTGGCTGCACCTCTGACACACAAAGCTCACCTGCATTGTAGAGCTGGAAGATTTGGAGGCCTCCATTGCTGTGCTGCAGTAATAATAAGAATAATAATTTTTAGCACTGGTTGGCTATCCAATGAAATGCATCCTTGCACTTCTGGGCTTGGCTAAAATCTTATTTGCTTAAGAAATGCATCAGCCACATCAGTTTGGAAGACCTTGATTTCAATATACTTGGTATTCGTCATTTACCCAGGTTTTTCTATTTTTTTCCCCACTACCTATATGTTAAATGTACAAATATTGTAGCCGCGTACATTGCAAACCTAGTAGATCTGGATAGCGGGAAAAAACATTCTAAGTGATACAATTTACACTTTTACAATATCATTGAACCCTTTTAGAAATCACAACCATGATTAATCGGCATGTGGAATGGTACTCGAGCACAGCTTCATGCTATTATAAAACCATTTCATGTATAGAAAAAAAGACCACTGACAATACTGCAATAGTGAAACAACAGAACAACAGTATTCTGTTGTCGAATATTCTCACTATGTAACAAACATATCTTGCTATAACTCAATCTTACAACTTATATTACCCACCGAGCCATATGCCGTTTACTCAATAAAACGAATAATATTTAAATCTTAGAGAACTAATTTTAAACGAATTACACCTAGAGAATCACAACAGATCAAGGGGCTTACAGTAAGTGCTGTGGTCATGCATTAATTCAGCGAATGCTTTCGGATATTTTGCCTGTATTTTCATAATATTCACAACTCTTACGTCGTGAATTATACTGAAATACTCACTGCCGTCGCTGTATTTAGCACACAGATTGCAAATTATTCGCCTTAAGGTCTCTGTGTCTGGGAAAAGCACTGTCGCGGCTTCAAAACTCACTTCCTGCACTGAACAACAACAATCACACCCTGGCCAGCCTTACCCTTCTTATAGTAGCAGGGGATCACTGTCATGTAGATCCAATAATGGCACGTCCGTTATGACAACATATGAAAACCCACAAATGTTTTATGATTACAAAAATAAATAAATCGCTAACAGTTTGACAACAGACAGCAGTTTGCTTTCCCTTTTCTGCAGCCCCGGACTTCCGTCTTCTCCGTGTTTTCCAGGAAATGACGACACGGTTCCGGGCACGTGCGAATGTTGAGCTGGTCGTGAGCGCTGTCTGCTGTCTGCGGTGGGGAATAAAAACTAAAACCTCGTACAACGTACACGTGAATAAAAACAGGCGAAAATATTCTGAACATTACCCCCATAATAGAAAACCTCGGTCATTCCTATTACATTCAACTCTTATACACGATAGTTCTTCGGATATTCGTACGGAATGCAGCGAGGATGCTGCTAGAAATGTAGCTATAAAGTATATACGCTATAAAATATATATAATGTACCTATATAAAACATTACTTATATGCATTTCTAAAACAAAAGTACCCTACGTATTTAAACTGCTCGTCAGCGTGCTTTGGGTGCAAAAGAACAAGTGGCGATTAATTCCACAAAATACACAAGACAAGCGACGCCATTCGAATGCGAAACGCTCTTGATGGACAATGATGATGCCTGTTAAAGGATACAGAAATAATTGTGCCCTAAAGCTCTGGAGCTCCCTCCCCGAGGACATCAGAGAGTCTCCTTCTCTAAGCTCCTGCAAATCCAGACTCAAAACCTTCTTCTTTAGAAGAGCTTTTACTGAACGGGATCTGTTCTTTACCCCTCTGGTCCTGCTGTATCGCCCTGCGCCTCTCAGCTGGCAGCCCACTGCAGCCCAGCAGTGTGAGCCTGGCCAGTACCTGGGTGGGAGACCCCTGGGGAAGCTGAGGCTGCTGCTGGAAGAGGTGTTAGTGGGGCCAGCAGGGGGCGCTCACCCTGCGGCCTGTGTAGGTCCTAATGCCCCAGTATAGCGACGGGGACACTGTACTGTAAAAAGGCGCCATTCTTCGGATGAGACGTAAAACCAAGGTCCTGACTCTCCACGGTCATTAAAATTTAAAAACACCCGGAGTGTTTCTCAAGAAGAGTAGGGGTGTTACCCCGGTGTCCTGGCCAAATTTCCCCCTGGTCTTTACTAATCATGGCCTCCTAGTAATCCCCATCTCTGAACTGGCTTCATCAGTCTGCTCTCCTCCCCAATGAGAGCTGCTGTGTGCTGAGCGCACTGGCGCATCATCCAGGTGGGGCTGCACACTGGTGAGGGTGGAGGGGAGCCCCATACCCTTAAAGCGCCTTGAGTGGAGTGTCCAGAAAAGCACCATATAAGTGTAAAGGATTATTATTATTATTATTATTATTATTATTAACCCCATCTACTGTCTCCTCTCACTGTGTATTATGTATTATGTATTTTATTGTTGTTGTCGTTCTGTAAAGCGCTGTGAGAAGCCACCTTTAAAGGCGCTATATGAAATAAAGTTGTTTATTATTATTTAATAATGAACGGGGATCCCGCGCACCGGGGCAAGGCGCCTGAACGTGCAAACGGGATGAAACGCTGGGGGTGCACACAGCGCTGCAGACCCACGGCCACGGCCACTGGCACGAGCAGCAGAGCGAGCCGGAGCCGCGGCGCGCGGGGCGGTGCGCCAGCCCGGAGTCCTTGCGCGAGCCGGGTCACGTGGCCCCCGGATGCGGGAAAATCGGAAGGAGAGAGTGGCGCGCGGCTTGCAGCTGCAAAGGTAGTGTTGATGTTTGTCATCGCGATCGAGCAGCATGGGGTCTGATTGTTTACATATCATTCATATTTAGGAACGTTATTTGCCAGATTGTGTTGTTTCCGTCGGTATAAGGGTAAAAAGAAATGACACTGGTGAGTTATTTACGCGCCCGGTGGGACACAAGGCGAAAATGCGATCAGACCTCATTCAAAACAGTTTCCTGTCGCTGTAGAGTTCATGCTCGTTATATATTTGCTATTAAAACGTGCTCTCTGTTATAATTCTGCTATGCTTGATGTCGACTTAGCCAGCTGGGTGTCAGTCTTATGTTCATAAATATGATACAAATATTAGTTCAGGAGAAGTTTACTGCAAGTTAAAAAGAAACAGGAATTTGCTGGAGTAGAAGACGGAACAGCACGGCCCGCCAGTAAAACAATACACGTTTCGTTTTAATGGCTGAGCAGCTTTAAGGCACTTGAGAAAAACATTTTGGTTGTGAGAACCAATTACGATCCTGCCTTCATTAACCCGTTCCGTGCTGCAACTGTGTGTGCAGGACTGAAAATGGCCCGGAGTGACAGGTTTGGTTTTTTACAGCGTCGCTTTGGAGACAGAATAACCCAATTGCTCTGTATGAACACTTTCCTCCAGCTTGTTGCAGAAGTAGTCAATGGCGGCTCCGACATGCAAAGTTGAAGATGTCAAGCAAGTGGTGTCAATGATACGCAGGAACCTGGAGTGCCCTATTTGGTGAGTGGGACTGGGCCCTCCTGTGAGATCAGGGTCATTAGAGTGGGCTATAGAGTGGTCACTCAGGGCAGGGCGCCACCATTCCTGGAGAGCTGGGCTCCTTGAGGTATGTGTGGTAAATCAGCACAGCCGTTTGAAATTGAGTTGCTAAAATCTGAGCCAGAAAGTAAGCTAGAAATACATGCTGCACTCAAGTGCTCGAGTTGCCCACCTTTGACCTAAAAGCTCAGCCCTCCATTTTCAAAGCAAATGTGTTGCCCAGTGTGTTTTTTCCCTTTTGAAAACACTTCTGTGGTGACAAGGTAGAGTTGCAAACTTTATTTAAAAAAAATGTTAACAAGCCCTGCTGGAGAACTAGAACAAACCACCACAATATGCATTTCATGGCTCAGAAAACTAGATGAATGATGAACAGGCAGGAGCAGGAGGCATCCTGCTGGTAGATACAGGACCATATTAACATTCCTTGACCAATAAGGTGCACAGGCTGTGTGGAGGTTGTAGTTGGATAAGCTGCAGCACATATCTGCTCTTTACTGAAGGCTGACTCACAGGATCCCAGTGCTGGACACTGGGCTGTGCCACACCCCATAACTGTGAGCTGTCACACCAGGAATCAATCTGCTTTTTCTTTTTAAGGTCACCAGCATGTCCTTCTGCAAGTTTCTCCCTTGTAGTTGGATGGTGTACAGTGAATGTAAAAAAAATTAAAGATTATAAATGAGAGGGGCCATTCAGCCTGACAAGGTTGCTAGTATCTGTGATCAATGGTCTCTTATTTATAACCTTTCTTGGGATGTTCTCGCATCCAGACATTTCTCGAGCCAAGCTGTCAGTTTCTGCAACACAGCTGGCTAGTTCCATACACCTGCCACCCATTGTGTAAAGTGTTTCATGTTCTCACTTTAAAATGCAGTCCCGCTTATTTTTCTTATTTGTGTCTTCTGTATTTTTTCTTCTTCTGTGTCTTCACCAAGTGAAGATGATGTACAGTAGTGCATATCGATTCAGGGCCGCTATCCCTGAATATCAGAGTGGTAACTGATACACTCTCTGTGTCTGACTTTCTAAATGAGATTAATGGAAATACCAACCTGATGCAGGCTTCTATTGATTTTTAATTCCCTGTCCTCTCCTGTGCTGATTGCTATGAAATTGCTGCTTTACAAAGTCATTGCTGCACTTCCTGTCCATATTCATTTGTGAGCTTTGACTGTGCAATTTGGAAATGGACATTAGCCTGGTTTCTTTCCCAGAAATGCCTGGATAAGATCCTTAGATCAATTATCTGCTAACTGCAAAACAAGATGGGCTGAATGGTGTCTTCTTGTTTATATCCTTTCTTATGTTCTGGAGGTTGACCCATCTTTTGTACTTTCCCATTTAATAGGGTTAGTGTTAAAAGTGAGTTCTAATTGAATGCATCTTAAATTGTCACCTTGCTGCTTTTAAAAAAATTGTATGCTTGTAGACATGCCAGTTTTTCCAGAGACAAGTACAAATTACAGAGCAAAACACAGAAAAGAAATAAAACATCTCCATATTTTAAATATAATTTTCATATTTTTGTTGATTAAATGTCTCTAGTATACCTTCAACATCTCTAGTAAATAAATGTGTAAATAGCATTTATTAGATGTAGATTTTTTTCCTGTTTGGTTTCAAACAAGAAATTCATCTACCAGACCTCCCTTAAATTTCCTTAGACCACTGTTTGAAGCAGTTCTGGGTGTTAATACCAGTGTTTCTCATAGCAGTGTCATATACATGCCCTTTCATAGGTAACACAATTTGTAAATCAAGACACATTAATTCAGAATTTCTTATACTTTTATGTAAACATTGTAAGATACAACCTCCAAATGAGAGAAAAGTGCTCTAACATTCTGAAAAGAAATTACTAACGTTAAGGTCGAAAAATGGCCACAGTTCACTGTTCTGGGGATAATTTGGAAATATAACCCCCTTCTTTCTGTTTTCAGCCTGGACTTATTGAGAGACCCGGTTTCTACAAGATGTGACCACCAGTTTTGCAGGTGAGGAGCAACAGCATTTGTAGCATTTGTTTAAATAAAATATTGCCGCTTTTTATAATCTTGAATTATAACTTTTGAACTTTTTCAGTCAATTAACAGTATGCATTTGCCAGAACTAGTCTTCCTATTTTTTACTTATTATGTGGCAGACCTGCTTCAGTTGTTAATGTCATTGAACAACATTGGGTAGAATGCAGATTTCTATCTCAGTTTTCCTGAAAGGTTCAGACTTCGGTGGTAAACTAGTCCAATACTTAAAGTATTGTTGTCCCATCCAGTGTAAATATATAACATCAATCTACCGAATCCCACAGCGGATGTGATTTGATTGGCTGTGGCAGTGTGCAGCAGAGTCACTCTGGTTCTGAGTTTATCTGGTTGTTTTGTGCAGGATGTGCATGCTGAAACACCTGAGTGGAAGCAAGAGGGCTGGGGCACAGTGCCCGCTCTGCAAGGCTGAAGTCACTAAAAGGCGAGTTGTGCTGTTTACTTAGTTCTTACAACAGTTTTACTAAAATAATGGACATGCCCATTTGCACACTTAAACACCACACCTTACTTACATCTCTGGTTTTGATGCATAACTAAAAGATCTCCAGTTTTATTCTTTATTATTTCCCTTAATTTCTTTGAAGGTGATCTTATCACATTCCATTGTATTTCCATTGTATAAATTAACCCATATTTGAAGATTAAACAATTAACTTCCAAGCCACGTTGGTTGCCGTGAATTGGAGAGAAGCTACCACCATTGAGACGCTTACTTGCTGTTTGTTTTTCTGTTTTCTGCAGAAGCTTGCAGGACAGCTCTCGTTTTAAACAGCTTGTGGAGGCCCTGCAGAGAACTATCCATGCTTTTGAGCAGGACACTGGGACGAAGTGTGAGTGGGGCTGTCTTTCCTAGGAAGTGTAGTGGAATATCACTGTCTGGGGTACAGTGACATCGTGTGGTCCTGTGTCCACAGGGCACGGTGTTTGCTGGTCTTCATGAAGCTGTAACAATCAAGTGTTGTTTGTGCTAAAATTATTGCTTTTCAATAAGCCCCTGTGATAAGTAAACCACAGCTCCACAAGGTTGTTGTAGAACTTACTTTGTTGTCAACTGAAAAATAACAAAAACACAGCGGTGATGTTGGCCCAACTTGTTTTTTTCCTGTCTTAGTTTTCACCAGCCCCAGGATATTGATTTCTGCTCCTGAAACAAAACGTTGTGAAGAATTGTGGGAAGAGAAGGGCGCTCCGCAGAGCCCGGTCGGCAGGAACAGGGCAAAGAGAGCCACTGCAAGTAAAGCTTCTAAAAGACCAGAGGGGGTATGCTCTTGCCTTCTCCCATTTCTAAATCCTCTGTAGAGATGCAAAAAGTCACAGCGTAGTTCCGCGAATGTTTGAAATGATATTTAATTTGTGGTGAAAAGGGCCTTTTCCGGGGAGCACCAAAGAAGAGACATGCGGGCCGAATCCAAGCTGTGTTGCAGAAGGTTTTATAGTCTGAGTACAGCTCATTATCAGTAAATTTGTGTTTAGAAGTGTCCGTTACATAAACAGTAGAACTATGCACAATACTTCAACACATGACCCAATGACTATTTCTGATAACCTTGCCTTTCACATATTTCTGAAATGTTGTCACATAAAGCAGTGTCAGTGTCTGTTTAAAATGCACTCAAGGCAGAGAAAGAATGGCCCCACGTCAGGCCAGGTTTCTACAGTCTTTTACCTTCTATTTCTCACACTTCCCATCCTGTCGTTTTTTACTGCTCCAATTTGGAGAAACTTCAGTCAGAAGAACGTCAAGCTAGGAACTGGACCTGCAGCTGACAGTCTTGTGTTCTCCCTTCAGGAAGGACAGCCTGCCGCTAGCCGTGGTCAGGACGTTTCTGGGACTAGTAAAAATCGGGCACAAGGGAGTCTCTTGCCATTGCAGCTCGGTAGGCAGATATTCTTTCCATCATACTCTCTTCCTTTACTTCTCTTATCATTGTGTGTAGTATTGTAAGCCTTGAAGCAAAAACAATAGTCTGTGAAATTAAATAAAAACATTGGCAAAATCTAAAGTTTAAAGTTAGCATTAAAAAGTAGTGGTTAGTGTTTCTACCCTGCAGCTCTGGGTTCCTGGACTCAGTTCTGGCATCGTCTGTGTGGAGTTTGCATGTTCCTCTCCCGTCTGCTTGGGTGCTTTCCCTGTGTTCCGATTTCCCCTCATCTCATAGAGACAGGCTAAGTGTTGTCATTAATCTTTTTAAATTTAGTGTGTTCTGTCATGGACAGTCATGGATAAGGGAACACGTGATAAAAAAGCATTTATTCTGACTGTTTATGCAGTTTGACAGTTCTCATTGGAAAACATTATGAAGTACGAATAGGAACTAAAAATGTTGTAGTAGATACTATTATGCAATTACAAGGCTTAGTAAGATTGCTTCCATTTTAAGCAACTCTTGAGAAATAGCAATATTGATAAAATTGTTTAAAGAGAAAAGTGGAGGTTGCTTGCTGAATTTGAACCCTGTTGTATCTACTGGGGTTCAAGTTGTTATATTAAATAAAAATATATCAGATATTCTCACTGATCTTTGTAGTACAGAATTGGCGATGGAGCTGTGCTATTTTTGGTCATCTTATTTAGGTGAGTAAAACTTTTGTTTTTTTATTCACAAACTATACTATCTGAGTACCTTTTCTTTCTGTTTAGACTTCTCAGAAGTGCTCTTGGAGCAGAAAAATGGATTGGGGTAAGAAAGATTGTTTAATCCTATTACTTTGGGGTGTTAATAAAAAAATGACTTTGCTTAGCTGCTGGATATTTTATGATTGCTACAGTCTTCAGCCAAATTTTATATTTTGATTTTGCTTCTCCAGTTATCATTTCCTTCACTGCAGTATTAAATAACTGCATTTCAGTCTGTTTTAATGTATTTCTGCATCTTTACAAAGTTGTACCAGTAGGTTCAGAGAGAAAATGATTAAAGTGCACAAGGTTCACAAAATCATGAGTGCAGGATCAAGTTTAACGTGCAGCTAATCAAACAGCTATGCAGGGGGATTTTATTCATCCCTTGTAGCTTCTTTGACTGAAGGCTAAGCGACAGTGCCAACTGCTGCTTTCTCTTTCCTCCATGCGCCAGCGCTCCTGACCTCGGGCTCACGGAAGCACAGGCCATCGGGACCAAGACTCGGGCCGAGTCTTCAGCCTGCGAGAGGCTGGGTGGTAGAATCACCGACAGCGAGTCCCAGCAGGAGCTTGAGGCAGCGATTTCCTCTGCTGCTGCAGGTAGGCAGTCTAGCGGAAGGGGCTCACTGTAAAGCTGGAACATACTGTATGAAACAGGAATGAGATAGCTGAGCAGATGAAGGAAAAATGACCAGTGGGCAAATACAACAATGAAAGAGAATGCTTATGATAATTAAAAATTTAGGAGATGATACTGTATGCATAAATTAGAAAGGTTTTCTCTTTTATAGTGCAAGAAAAATAAGAAGTTTTGCTAAAAAAGTGTATTTAGTATTTTCTTTGATTAAAGTATGACTTTTCCTGAACTCTTTCTGGAATGGTGAAAACCAGTAACAGTTTTTAATTGTTTAAAAAATGAGATTTTTTAAAATGACCAAGTTGTTTTCAACATTTTTTATTTCAAAGTTTCAAAAGATGTTTTCAAATAAAACTGTGTTTTATTCTGTTTTCCAACTAAAGAGGGTTTTGCAAAACTTATGGATCTGGATGATTCTTCTTACTTTGCGAACTCTGGGACGGCAGTAGCTGGCTCCTCCGAGCCAACAACTCAAGACCGGGAGAGGAGTGCTGCAGACGTGACTGACCCAGTGATCCCGGTCCGTCTGCACATGGGTAATAACCGGGACCTCACCTCCTCACGGGAAGAGGAAGAGCATAGTTTCGTTTCTGCCAGCAAAGATGTGAAGGATAGTGAACACCTAGCCAGCAGAAAGAAGAATTATCTGTCTTCTAATGACCAGGACCCTTCAGGTGAAAATAAAACCTTTGACGTGAGTGAAAAAAGTAAGACTAACAACAAAGACAACAGTCTACAAAGTGCAGAGAATTTAAAAGCGTCCGATTTTGCCCAGGTCTCTTCCAATAAGATCTTGGAAAAGAGACGGAAGACCAGTGTCCAGAAGGTCATGGATTGGCTCTCCAGGATCGATGAAAAGGCTTGTTTTCCAGAAGAGGAGAACAGACCTGCTGAGACACCCTCTGATGCAGATTCTCTTTTAGAAGAGGTAAAGAGTAATGAGTCTGATGGGGATTCCTCAGCTACTGAGAAATGTGATGAGCTGGTCCAGGAGTGTGTTGAGAGTCTTAAAAAGACTGATCGCAGGAGCACCCTAGAAGATCAGGTCTTTGGGGTTGTCTACAAGAGAGCGCGGAGAACCAGTGCTCAGCTGAACAAGAGCTTTTCGTCTGACAGGAAAGGTGTGGAAGTGTTTTCTTCAAGCTCAAGCAAAGAGCATCAGGCCAACAAGAAAGTGTGTAAGAGAAAGTCCAATGAGCTGACACCAGCTGACTTCATAAAGAGGCCTTCCCCCGTGGCTGAAACGAGCGACGCCACATCCCAGCCTGCAAGAAGCGATGCAGGGGGCCGTGTTCGAAGTGAGAGTCTACATGTGCTTGTCTCAGATGGAAATCAGCCAGAGATAGAACAAAGACCCTCACCCTCTCAGAGAACTGCCAGGGCTGAAACAACACAGGCAGGAGGTTCCTGGAAGGATGAGGAAGAGGATTTGCAGCCAGACCGTCAGGAGAGGAAAGGAAAGAAAAGCAAACCCAATACAAAGGATAACAGGAAGAGGAATGCACTGACTAGAAAGAAGGCCATCAAGGCAGCAAAACCCCTAGACCTAGTCAGCTGCCAGCAAAACAATACTGGTCAAGATGCAGACAGTGCTGGCCCATGGAAACCTACCATTAATGAGACGGAAGCACAGATTGAGAGCTACCCAAGCAGTGAGGAACCTGCAGGTAGAGCTGGAGAGCCCCATGCTACACGAAGAAGCAGAAGACTCCAGCTTTTAACAGAAAAGGTTCGGTGTACTGGCAGAAGGCTCAGAACTGAAGACTCTGAGTTGGAAAGGGATCCCCAAGCTCCTGATCAGTCTGAAAACGGTCAGTGTTTGCTCACATCAGATCAAGCTGGAATGCTGACTTGTAAGGGAGTTGAGCAGCTGTGTGAAAGTAGTGAAAAAGAGAATGAGACAACAGAAGTTTTGAAAGTATCAGAAGGTTATGAGGACATTCAGCAACAAAGCGGGCATATTGTGGTTGAGAGTTCTCTGGTTTCCATCATCCGCAATGCAGAATCTCCTTGCAACTCCAATAAAGCATTCAAAGGTGACCAATTAGTTCCATCCGCTCTTGATATCTCAGAAGGACCGGACACAGGATCTGATGTGGCTGTGATGGACGAGTTACTTCCAGGGGAACTGACGGAAGGAAAAAATGACAGTGAACTGGAGACTGAACAGATTCTGAAAACATTCAAGATATCGAAAAGAAGGTCCTTTAACTTGCTGCCAAGTCCTGAGTACCCATCCCAGGAGAGCGAGTTTTGTGACAATAAAGCATCAGAAAAAAATGAAAATCCAGAAGAAGAAAAAGGACAAGTAAATGTAGCAGTTGAGAGGACCAGTCTGCAGTCTGAGAAAGAACTGGATTCATCTTGTGTGAAAGAGCCAGCAGAGACACCTGGGACAAACTTGGAACAGCCAGAAAAACCTGAGACTTTAAGGAATGAGCAATACTCTGCATCCAGACATGTTGAAACTGAGAACTCTGGCTGTACTGATATAATTCCACCAACAAAACCTGCCTCCCCCAGGCCAGTGTCTTTTGACAGTTGCAGAAATGTTGACATAAAATCTGGTCAGACCCTTTTTGCTGATGTTTCTGAAGCTGACAAGATCAGTGACGGCTCCACTTCCACCTTCTCGTCGATTTGCACGGACAGTCAGAGACCCAGAGACAGGAATGGCAGGCGGAAGAAGACAAAGATGGATGAGTCTACTCTGGGTAGTGTGAGAGGAAGGAAGAAAAATTTGAATCTTAGTTCGATACATTTTTCACAGGTCCCACCTAACACGGAGCAGCTCGTCTGTGCTTCACTTCTGAACAGGCAAATTCCCATTGACGGTTTACCCCAGGAAAATGAGTCATTAGTGGAAAACTGTAAAGTAAAGAGTACAATGAAAGAAAGCTTTGTGGGCAACGGAGAACAAAGTGACTTTGTGCAAAGTTTTCCACTTGCAAGGAAGGAACTTTCCACTGGGCCAAACATCTCGCAGGAGTCATCTATGACCCCTGATGGCCTTTTGCCCTTACGAGCTGTTGCTAGTGACAGAGCAGACAATGAAGAGCAGTGTCTACCAGGTGAAGGCAAAGAGCAGCTGAGCCAGTGGTCACTGAATTCCAACCCAAGGAAGAGAATGAGGGCCCGAATGCTGGAGTCATCAGACTCAGACTCAAATACTGAGGAAGATCTTCCATCCCTTGCAGAGCTACTTGGGCCAAAGCAGCCAGCTACTAACCCTCAAGAAGACTCTAACCAATGGAATCCCCTTCAGAATCGTGACCTCGAAGCCTCTCCTTCTAGTACTGTTGAGTCATCTGTGGTTTTACCTGTTCAGCAGAGCGTTCCTGCAAGTCAGGGCTCTGTAGATCTATTTTCAACTCAGTCTGACAGTCCCAGCCATCGCATAGAGCAGATAGACCTGGTAGAAACCGAGGTTCCTAGTCACAGCAGCCAAGGCCAGATGGAGCTGCCCGATAGGAACCGCGTAGAAGAGTGTGGCAAGCAGAGCAGTGTGGAAGACGAAGGCGATTTAGAGATGAAGACAGGTAATGAGGATTCTTCTTTTGGAAACAGTTGAATGAATCTCTTAGCAGCTGACTGACTCTCGTGTTTTATTGACGCTGTCGCACTGTTTTTGTTGTTCTGAATGAGCAGGTGAGCCCCTGGGTTGCTTGCATGGAGGCAGCCACACTGGAGAGTTGCCACAGTCTTCTCAGAGTGAAATCCTCACCACCCAGGTATGTAATGCTTCACTGTGGAACACAATGCATTGTGACACATTGTGAAAGGGGGGATTATTATTATTGTGTCCCCTGATCTTGTCAGATCCCAGAAACTAAATAGAGCAGTGCCTGGTCAGTACTAGAATGGGAAACCTCCAAGGAAAACCTGGTTGCTTTTTGTAAGTGGCATTGGGGGTCCAGTTGTGCTCTTCCACCAAGAGCAGAATGGATTTCCTATCAACAGTGCCTGACTGCAGTGACCAGGGGCAGTGAGCTGTAGGAGGTCTCGATCTCTGGTACTTTAGTAGGGTCTTTGAAGATCCATTGGCTGCTGAAGGGGCAGGAGGCAGAACCCTGGTGTTACGGATAGATTCTGCCTTGGTTTTGCATGATCTGGGCTCGGAAACCTGCTCCTCAGCTGAACTGGTAAAGTAGTCTCAGACTTCTCCACATCATGAGTCTGTGCAGCATGACTGTTTGACTGGTGCATGTCAGGTGTTGGAGCAAGTGGGTCCCTTCCTGTAAGTTCTTTGAGATTATTTTTTGGCAGTTAAAAGTATTAAGTATAATTGAATATTGTTGTTAATATTGCAGTGACTCTCAATCAGCAGTGAAAGACAAGGGGTAAGTGAAAATTCTGGGGCAGCTTCTCCAAGTTGAACTGGACATAACATTCTAGATAAATTCATAATATTATTTTAACTCACTTGACAGATTTAAACATTTTGTAAGAAGTTTGCTTATATGTATAGAGAGGCATTAAGAACCCAACATAAGAGTACCGGACCTAATTACTTTTATAATATTAAATCCTCTCAGTATACAAGTAATTCTAAGCACACAGTAAATGCAAAATGACAAATAGTAGCAGACATATATCAATTGCCAGCATTTTTGAATGTCTGATAATGGCAGAACATGGTTTGTTAAGCTGTAGCTATTTGTCATGATTTTTCCAGGTTTATTGAATAATCATCCTAGCAGTGGTAGTTCACTTGTCTTAACGAGCTGATTGTTGCATATCTGTAAATTGATGTATACTGTACACTTCTGAGACAGCATGGTTTTTGGCAATAGGTGAGATTGCATTGTTTTCTCTCTTATTCCTCACAGTAGATTTAAACATGCCCTGTCAGGTTATTGATGTACATGCTTCTGATGTGACAGGAGTAGGAGTCAGGTTGGACCATTAGCAACGCTGGTCTGTACAGGAGGCAGAAAGCTAATATTTCTCTTGTCTCTGCAGTCTTTAGAAGGCAGTGCAGTGTTGCACCATTGCCACCAGATGGCAGGTGTCACTCACTAACCTCAGGCGCTGTCCCATGTGTGGTGACAAATGCTTAATAAAGTTAAAAATGTGGTTATCAGCATCTTTTAAATTGCAATTCATTATGGGTGATATTTTGTGAGATGAAAACTAGCCAGGTAGATAATTTGCATTCTCTCAGCAATTTATCTTCATTCATTTTATGTTCTTTTAGAGAAAATAAATGAACTGTTAAAAGAGAGTTAGGAGAGGTAGAGGGTTTGACTTATGTGGGGTTTCCAATAAATGCACTTAATCCTTTTTAAATATCTTAATTACAAAGCATGATCTTCACAACAGTAGAAGTAAGACTTCATCGTGCCATGGTGGTGGCCATCTCATGGTTTACAAGCAACCCGGTCTTGATTATAACCCATTTCCAGGATCTGGATGCCTCTCATGTTACTGTGAAATTGTGCGTTAGATATCAAATTTTGCTTTGCTGGTAGAATTGCAGGCTGGGGCAGTGGCTATTTGCACTGCTGCCTCAGCAGTTGGGTCGTGGGTTCAGTTCTGAGCAGAGACACCTACTGTGTGGAGTTTCCACGCTCTCCCTGCATTTTCTGTGGGTTTTCTCCTCCTGGTCTGCAAAATCCCAAGCCATGCTGGCTGGATTAAGTGGTGTTTTGTATTCCCTGGGTGGGTGTGCATGCTCATGCCCTGCGATGAACTGGCATCCCATCCACAGTGAATGAGCCTCTGTAGCAGTGGCTCCCTGCCACTGTCCTGGAGGATCACCTTGTCTGCTGTTTTTTGTCCCAGCTGAGCTGTACTGTACATCTGCAATGCCACTCAATAACTGACCAGTGTGCTTTCTCGCTTAGGCCTTTATTAAGCTTGTTCCCTCAGTCAGTCCTGAGTGTCAAAACTACCTTACATCTTCAGTCCACAGTCTCTCCTCATTTCTTGTCATTAACATCTATAAAATAGCACTGTCCTATATCACTGGAACAGCTCTCAGTTGGTTGATCCACTGATGGTGAACAGATACAGGTGGGAGTGACGCTTTATCAGACGTGCCTGCAGTGATTTTTTTTCCTTCTGCTGAGGACCTGTTGGTTTCATTCCAAGAAACACACCTGAATGAGGGGCAATTATGAAACTCGGCAATTGGTACCCGTTACAAATCCCATTTGACTTTTAGAGCTAAAAGCAAATTTACAAATAAGCCTCAAATAGAAAATTCAGATCGATTAGCCTGTGATTAAGAGCTCAGCGGACGCAAAACCCAGAACACAATGTTCCTTCAAGACAAGGGTTGGGAACCGCTGTTCTGTAGGACAAAGGGACTCTGGATGACGGATGGATGGTGGAATTGCTACAAGGATTCATTCTTGGCATTAACAGTTTTTTTTTTCTTTTTTTAAGGATATGCTAGGTGGAGCCTGTCTCATGTACTGTGGTCAGCCAATAGAAACCACGTCGTAAACAGACTTAATGAGTCAGACCTACTGCGCTGTCAGAGCTTGTTAGCTGAGCCCAGTTCAGATTCCCCTTTAGTAGCCTGTTTCCCTGTGTAGGCGTGCTTCTGACTGCAGTGCCTTCTTTTGTCAGTAGTTTTAACATTAAGAAGCAGTAGTTAGAAGACATTACTGGTATCACAGACTTGGTTTCAGTTACATTTCCGCTGAGTTTTGTACTTATATATAAGGATTACACCGATTCCTTTTAGGTGGTTCTTGTTTTTTAATTGCTGGATAGAGGTGTGAAATGTGGTCATTTAACTCACACATGTGATTTCAGCTTTTAATGATGATAAACATTGTCTCAGTGGTTTCTCTTCCACTTTTGGAATTAGATTGATCACTGTTTATGCACTTTGACTAATGGTATACTATAATTGATTTTTGGGGAAAAAAGCCATGCCTTGTAGCTCTTTCATGAAATCTAAAATGCTAAGTATCACTTTCTTAGTGATCAGACTGTTCTTCCTCGAGTGGGGCTGTACGCAGACCGTGGCCTTTGGTCAGAGAAAGCAAGGGGGAGCAGGGTTTACTGGGGAGAACCAGTATTTAGTCCTGAGAAGGACTTTTGGTTCAAACCAAAAAGCAAATAATAGTTGTTTATTATAATTATTTGTTACACTTGTACAGCTCTTTTCTGGAAAAGTGTTTTACAACCTGCACGACCAGTCAGCCGGCCCCCGCCCCAGGCTGTGACCTGCTGACGTAGCCAGTTTTCTCCATCTCATAAATCCATCAATGGGCTAACCGAAAGGATGACTTGGCAGAGCCCATGTTGCAGAGCTGTATTGATTAACATCGGCAGGAGATCTCAGCAGTGCGGGAAGCGCAACACGTGTGCGAAGTCGCCCAGAGAGCCGGACGAGCCGCAAACAGTGATGCCTTATGTGTGTCGTTCTCAGCAAAAAGACACCATCCAGAAGGACCTGAGGAGGATCGAAGAGGAGATGGCTGTGCTGGAGGCAGCGCTGAAGGGTCAGGGGAGTCCAGAGGGCGGCTCATCTTCCAGGAGGCTGGCCTGTCTGCTGGGGCAGGGCGCTGAAGGAGAGCCAGGTAGGCTGGCGCTGTCATTCTGAAAGACGCAGTGGCCCAGCGGCCCAGCCAGTCCCACAGACGGCCTTTGCTCTTACTCACCTGCTGTGGGGCCTGGATTACACACAAAATAGTCACGTAACACATGCTTTGGGGACAGGACTGATAGCATAGCTGCTATTGTAGTTCTGGGCTACAGCCTTTCTGAATGTAGCTAATGCTGTAGTTTTTTTGTAATGGGAAGTTCTCTTAGCAGAGTTAATTAGCTGGGCTAAATCCAAATAATGCCATTTCATGGATCTACTATAGCTGCTTAAGTTCTAGGATACCACCTTTAAAAACCTCACTTGGTCTGTATGTTTGACTGTTGACATACCCGACGTGTTGTGTCGTGACTAGTCTGCCTTCCACTGCAGCAACTGACCTTTGCGAGACTTCTAGCTCGCTTCTCACCGCTGAAAGGCATGTTCCCCATTATCAACCGAGCCCGTCAGTGTGGGAATCTCCAATGAGTGTGACTCACATGCTAAACGTCTGGCCACTGTTAAGCCAGTCGAGCTCTCCTTGATCTCCTTGTGTTTTTCTAGCAGCTATTTCCCACAATGACCTGCTGCACCAGTATCTCAGGCTTTATTAATAAAACTTGTCAGAAAGCACATATTTGCATTTTGACCTGAAGTAATAAATGTATTCATCTTAATATCCTCACTTTCATGTTTATTATTTCTAATAGCACTTCCATACAACTTATGAAGTTCCCCTACAAACACTGTTATTCATGCAAACAGTTTGACACAGGAAAAGACTCCATCGGCTGCTTTGTGCTGGTGCCTTTAGCGCCTTTGCAAGGCTGCTGAGCAAGTCATATACAGTGATAAATGGCTTCTCTTCAATTGCAGCATCTTTCTAGCAGGATCCTGCCTAATGTGTCTCTGCAGTTGATCCACATGGACGGAAGACATATTACAAGTTGCACACAGATAGTGTGACTAAAGGCACAAGAGCTCTTGGCATTTTTGCAGCCTCTCTCATTGACTGGGGTGGAGGAATTTGAAGGAGGTGCTGTTGAAGTGGGCTGGGTGTTGAAAAACATCGGTGCATTTCGAGTGGTTGTCTACAGGCCTTACTTTTGAGGCTGTGCAGGAATGGGTAGGGCTTTTTAAAATATGCCACTGCTTTCAAATATTTGTCCATTGAACTTGGATTTGGATAATAACACCCTTTGGGTGTGCCAAGAGGCTGTGTTTTTGCCTGGTTGCATGTTGCTGTGCTGACCCATGCAGTCCCAGTTATACTGATCTATGGCATTATGTCACAGCCGAAAGTTTTGACTATGTGGCCACAGGTCTTGCATCAGCACAGTGGATTCTTTTTTCCACAAGAGCCACTGGGACAAGTGAATACAACCAAGTGTGTTTCAAGGGTATCAAATTGTTTTCTGGCTGCAGTTTCTGGTCACTATCAAAATTACTTATGAAGATGGATAGCATCTTAATATTTGTCACCTAGCAGGAATAGTGTAGGGCTCACCGAATAGTCACATACAACAAAAGCTTTCCCAGGGCACTCACAAAAAGTGTAAGTAGATAGTGAGTCCATTGTGAGCACATCTTTGTTGAAGTGGTTTCTGAGCAGTGTTCATCTGGAACCACCAGCGTAGTGCTGCATGCATTCTGTAAGCAAGTCTAATATGGATTATCTGACATGATCAATATTTAGAGCAAGAGGAATAGTCCTTTCCCAATTGTTAATCGTTCCTTGGCTGTGTTCTAAGGAATCACATACTATGTTGCATTTGGTCTTTTCACTAAGAAATAACATGTTTACATTTGTAAATCATTTATAATTGCCCTTTAGATCACATTGTTCGGGGATTCTGAGAACTACGTGAAGGTATTATTAATTGGTGTATCTCAGCCCCTTAACTACTGTACTTGTGATTAGCTCTGTGTTGACTGGGCCCATGCTGTATATTATCTTGAATCTGCTTTACAGCTGCCATAATAATCTGGAGATTTTTCAGACGAGTCAGTGATGTTTTGCTGTTGTTTGAGTCATTTTTTTAAAGGTTGTTATTAATGCAAGGAATCTGCTTTTGTTGGCACTAAGAATCTCCAATTCTACCTGTTGGCTTCAAGGAGATGTTGCTGTCTTTGCTTGTCATAATCTAACTATTTATCCTCTCCCATGTAGGTTATTAGTTTGGGTGCAGTAATGTCTGTAAATTGCTTAATCCAAGAGTTGCTTAAATATCTTTCTCAATAATTTTGAAATTTTGTCTGTATTGCACAGCTTTTGCTTTAAGTACAGTATTTTAAAAAGAAACGTGGATGCTCTGGCCAGATCATTGCATTAAATACCGGTGCAAACAATAATGTCAATAGCATCTGGACAGTTTCATGCCATATTGTAGAGGTATACCAGGGCAGGACCTTATTATTCAGTCTTCCAAAATCTTCACTGGCACACTGCTCCAAATTAATCCAGCTGGCCCTATTTAACAGCTGCTCATGACCAATATGGCTCTTTGACTTAACAAAATTATTTCAGAACAATTATTTATGTTGTTGCTAATTTTACAACAGCATCTGCAAAAAGATAACTCAATAAATTGCTTCCTGTCCGCTGGGAGTGGGGTTCTGGAAGTCGCGCATATTTGAGAGTGCTGGTTTGGATGGTGAATATCCCATTTGTGATGCTTGATAACCATTTCCCATCACTGCTTTCTAGCTATTTGAAAGTCTGTGTATGTGCTCTGTTCTCAGCCACTAGCAGTAGCACTTTAATATCGCTCACCTCAACAGAGTCATATTTTTGGTTAGTTTTCCTTCCTCTTAGATTTTTAATATTACGGTATTACGATTTCAGTTTTGGGGATGATCTTAATCTTCAGGTTGACTCATCACTTTCCCGTTTCAGTTGGATTACTTTCATTACTGGATTGCTTTCATCTCTCCCAACACGTTGATCTTCATAGCACCAGTTGGCAAAGGTCTGTTGCTAGCTGTAACTGGCAGCACTCCGAAACATTTTTCTGCACTGTACGTTGAGAGTAGTAAAATTTACAAAAATAGCTATGAAAATCTGTCACACCAAGTTATATATACACTTTCTGGCTACATGAAGGATGAGCCATTAATCAGTATTGTGAAAGTCAAAGGCCATCACAAGATCTTTGTGCCCTCTTAATGCATTCTTTGCCTCGTGGTGATCAGTGAGGTTAGCTGTTTTGGCTGAAATTTGGATGAAGAGTTCATAGGATCATGTTCCTCTGAGCCATCCAGCAGGCAACAGGTTAGATTGGTGGTTTCTGTCCTTCAGTTTGACCAGCTAGTTCAAGTAGTTGCATTCATTCTTTAACTACATAACACAGTCATGGTTCTGTGTGGCCTGGGTGCTAGGCATCTTCTCATTTTCTTTGTCCATGAGGGATAGGTTACCTATGGTCCTTCCCTCCAGCTGCTAGATGTGAGACTGGATGTTTCACCGAGAGGGGCAGACGGTTTTCACTTTGGTAAACACACTTTGGCAAAAACATCCTCGAAGCAAGCCGCCAGAAAGTCCCTGGACATGTAGAGCTGTGCGTCCCGAAAGCCAAGACATTTCCCCGAGGACTAATCCCAGCATCTACAGTTGTGGTGTGCAAGGTGAAAACTTACTTCCTGGCCATCTTTGGCCTTCATGAATGGAGTGTCATAACCTCTCTGAGAATTGCTTAGTGAAGTCAAGCTGAAGAAAATGCCCTAAAGTGAATTTTATTTTATTTTATTAAAGGTGGCATTGAGCATGAAAGTGTCTTTATTGTGCATTTGCTATTGTGCAAATTCCAAGTATAAAAATGTGATGATAATTGTAAATACTACAGCTAGATGGAGGGATTTATTATTCAGACAATATTTTTTGTTATATATAAATAAAATAAGGGAAACAGGGAAAGAACAAGGCCCACAATACAAAAACGTTTAAGGCAGAATTATGGTATTACTTTATCTTAAAAATAGGGATCATATATGATTAATCTGATTGTGTGTGTTCTCAGTCGAAATAAGAATTGTGGATTATACAGTATATGAGATTAATCACAAGGATATCGCAGTATCACTTCAAATCTCAAACGTACATACAAAATAATACGTGGATGCCTCTGATTCGAACAGTACATCTGTTTTGTGTGTCGGTAGAATTATGTGTACACATTTATTTGAAATATGTACTGTCACTTGCACTTTCTTCTTTAAATATGTTTTTGCATAGCTTGAGAAACATGAGATAAAACCAGCTGTATCATCTCTACTTCAGCCGCCGGCGTGATAAAGTGTCAGTGTTCTACCATCCATTTCATCATTAGTTCCCCTCCATCAATTCACGCATCTTTAACTTCACCAGCCCCACATTTTCCAAAGACATTTAAATACAATTACTTCATTTTTCATGGCAGAGGAATCTTGCCTGTAGGATTTCTTTTTCCCATTTATGAAAAAATGAGATCAGATATTATACTACATTTCCGCTATTCTTTCAATTTCTTAAACCAGCATGTCTGCGAGTTTTTTTTTTTCCTCAAGCGCTTTCATTATGCCTTTTTTCTGTAAATGTAGGTTCCCCAATTACTGAGAGGCTCACCTCTCTGGTAACAAATCCTCCTCCGGGGCCTTGGCAATCTCCACTGCACCAACAGGAGGCAGAGCGCATCTCTCGCTGGTGTCACTACAAGCCTGCAGGCCTTCACACATTTCCCCTTTATACGCTATTTCGCTATACACTGTGGCTTTCTAGTTTTCACTTCTGACATACAGTAGGGACCACCTGTCCCCTGGGGAATGCAGGTCTGCCCGTGACGCTGCTGGGGCTCAGGACCTCAGCCTCAGCCTGCACTTCAGACATTCCCCCCAGCCATTATTCTGAATGACCCATCCAGGGCAGAGGGAGAAGGGATTACGACTTTTTCCAGAAAGGTGATGTCAACAAGTGGCGAGTGGCGATAAAACTGCCCAGAGTTTACACGAGCATAATACAGTTTT